TGAACGAACTGGTTAGTTAGAGCACATGTGCTGATTAATTTAAATTTCTAAATAGAGATGTCTAGAGTTGATTGTGATTGGAATTTAGGTCATGTGGTATTAAAAGTTTGCCTATTTTTGGTTTTCAGTTGCTGCGAAGGATGCTCTTATAATTACTCCCCTAATGGAGTATGTGCGTCAAAAAAGAGCTGTAAAGACTGGAGTTCGGGTAGGATATCTTTTACTGATATCAAGCCCATTTGCCTTCTTTATTTCTTCCAGCATCAGCTACTTTGGTTGTCCGCCATAAACAAACAATTGATAATATCGAGATGAATTTGGTTTTGAATATTACGAAGTATAACCAAATCCAATTAATCCTTTTCTTGCTTGATTGACAGAGGGCTGTACCTAGTGGGAAATCAACCAGAAGGGTTTGTGGAGCATCAACAGGAAGTCCTAGCTCTAGTGCATCTAAACGAGGTTCTGAGAAGAGGAGGACTTCAAAAACAATGGTATGCAGTTCTATCGTTTTTCTATGACCGGTGCTAGCAGCATTGCTTTTATTTTTATTTTTCTTGGGAATCATTCCTTTGCTTGTGGGTGTAATGTGTGTTCGTTACAGTTAACCTTCCCTTGAAACCACCCTCTTATTTTTCTCGACTATATTGGTAAGTTTTCTTCTAAAAAGGATTAAGACCTGCTATGTTTTAAAGGTTCAGAGTCTTGGAAATTACTGTATTATACAGACCATATATGAATAAATAGTCAGCTAGCTCAAATGAGAATAAAGATATGATGATAGTCTAGGTAAACAAGAAGTATAGGGCAAGCATTTTTGAAATGAGATAGTTTTTAGCGTCACCCAAAGTACAAACAAACAAGTCTATTGCTAACCAAGTCTTGTGATTCACACAGTATGTTCCACGGGACAGTTCTAAGGTTGGAAGTGGCAAGGAGAAATCATACATTCTTATAACAAAACGTGATGGCCAAAAGTTCTCTGACAAGTCGGGTACTTCTTCACCTTTTGCATATGGGGCGGCCCCAGCACATGGTGAAAGTGGTATGTGTCTTATTGTGCTTCACCCATGCGGTTTTTAGTGAACTCCTTGTCATAAGTAGCCATGTGCCTACTTATACCCGGATATTATTCTGTTCCACAACTATGATCTGTTAAAAACATTTCAACTTTTTCCATATTTCCATGTTTTAAAACCATTGCAATGAAACCCATTGAATTTGTCTCAGGAGGTTCTGGAACTGCTGACAGTGGGAGGAAAATCTTGCTGACCAAAGGAAAGGAAAAAGAAGTTCCTCTCCAAAATTTGCTCAATTCGTCTGCTCCTAGGCCAAATCAGCGACATGAGGCTAGCGGGAGAATTGTCAAAAGTATACTTCTCAAGGACGCTCATCAGAATCAATCAGAACACGAAATTCAGGACAGGGACAAAAAACCTCCTAAGCCACCAACGATGCAGATATTTCAGAAGGATTGTAATGGATCACTTGAGGATAAAGTTACGGGGCACGATCCACACAATATCCACATAGAGAAGCCGGAGAAACGTACAAGGAATAGGGATAAGCCTGATCGTGGTGTCTGGACGCCGCTTCGTCGTTCTAATAGCTCACAAGCAAGTGATGAACCTTTGTCTTTGTCCAACCAATCCACCGAAGTGCAAGATTCTACTGAAGGTGTGCTCAATATAATATTTTGACACTTCTAAAAACGGTGATGCTAATTTTTTCTGCTGGAAAATTGTACAGTTTACTTTCCTTGTAATAAAGCTTTGGGTGTTCATATATGCGAAATTGTGAATCATTATGGTAGGGTTTAGTTTGGTCTTTATTATTAAAAATTACTCAAGTTTTGATGCTACTGCAATATCTAGGTGGGCATCTGGAAATAAAAAAGGATACATCAATTGCACGGGCTGGAGACTATAGACCCGTTGGAAGTGGACGCAATTCTCATTCATCAGCCGATAATGGTTACTTGTTATCCGCTATTTAATTTATTTATTTTTAAGGATTGTGTGTGCTTGTTAACTTACACAACTTTCTGATCAATTTAGGTACATACCGACATGGTGCTCGGCGTGGATCAGCACATGGTATGAAAGATGCTGATGGCACTTCAGTTGGGGAAGGAAAACCATCAAGAAGGGGAGGTCCTTCTGGATATGGTTCCCGTGGCCATGAGGTGAGTTTGCTTTCTTTGAGAATTATGGTTTTGAAGTTATAAAATCGTTTCCATGAGATGCAATTCATTCAGTCATGATAACATCTTTGTTATGACTTAATGCTAATGCAGAAGCAAGTATGGGTCCAAAGGTCAAGTTCTGGTTCTTAATTTTGTTAATTATGGTATGTTAACATGGATTTTTAAATTCCTTCTCCCTATTTATTGCCATTTTACAAAATCTTCTATGTTCTTGTTTTACTGTGGTCCTTCCCCGAGCTATTGTTCACACTCGTTTTGTACACTTTGCAATTTGATTTTTATTTTTGTGCTGGAGCATTGCGTTTATAGGTATCTTTCAATATGTTTTTGATGAGCTGGTAATTTTAACTTCCTCCCGCACCTTCCCAAGGAAAGAAATTTCTAATTCGGGGGGCTGACTCTTTTCAGACTCTTACTTTCTGTGGTTTTCTTGGAATCCTTCTGCAGTGAAATTCTTGGTTGTCTACCATATTAAAAAGTATACCCTGTAGTGGCTGGAGCCCCCACTCTTTGCTCAAACGGGTCATGAGTGAGCCAAGGTTGCTGAGGCCAAGATTTGAAGATCTTCAGCGGAACTTTGAGTCGCCTGACACCTAAGATATTGCCGTGTTTATGTTCAGCGAGGTGAACATTTGATAACAATGATGGAACAGGACAGGTGCGTCATTTCAACCACACAATCAACACCACAATTTTAACCGGGGTGTTTACTTTGACTCGCTGCGGTCCTTTTCATCAGAGGAGAGCCATGGACGCACTGTTCCTGGCTTCCCCGCCTTTGACTCAGGAGGTTATCAAGATATTTAGTTCCATAGGTGGTTGTCGAGATATTTAGTTCTACAGGCGAATGAATGCTTTTGTTTTCGTTGGATGTATATACAAAAATACGGGATTGTGTGAATGCTCTCTATAGTTCCCATTGCGGATATGGCAATAGAGTAATAGCCTTATGGCTGATGGTAATGCTAGGCTTGACTTGACTGATTGGGGTTTCTGAAAGAAGATTGCTTGTTGTTGATGACATTCTTCTGAGTATTTTAACTTATGAAGGGGAATCAGATTTGCTTAGATTCTAATTTCCCAAGTTATGGGAATAATTGTAGTTATGGAGGGTGTTGCTGAAATGAAATGATCCTTTTATGCCTTCTAGCTATCTATATCTGAATTTATTGGACCATTTTATGTGTATGCTTTGTTTTTTTAGTGGTGACTTAAAACTAGTTGAATCCATGATGCAGAGCTTTTGGTCCTACAGCTAGCAAGTGGGTTTGATCACTACATTTGCATTGCCATATCATGCCAATCTATATGTGACTTATACTAAAGCATTGCATCCCAAAGTTCTTGCCAACATCTTTTTGGTCAAGTCCGTTGCATAGGATTAATGTGATTTGTGGTTATTGTACGATAACGGGGTTTATTCCGTGCACATATTTGGATAGTGATTATGAGTCTTTCAAGATCGAATATGTTGCACGTGGTATTTGAACCTGTCGCATATAGTCTTTTTTTTTTTTTTGGTAGAGGTCGCATATAGTCTTTTTAGTGCAATTTATGGGTTATTACACATGAGCTACCTAGTGGCCTTATGGGCTATTACACAGGAGCTACCTAGTGACTTCATGGTCTTTTTAATACAGTTTATTAGGTATTACATAGGAGCTACCTAGTGGTTAGTTAGTTTACACCATCGAATTTCCCTCATTGTCCAAAAAATACCAATTGTATTACGGAGTATTAATTATCCTTAGCCACTACTTGCTTTGTTGTTCAAAAAAAAATACCAATTGTATTATTAATCTTCCTTAGCCACTACTTGATAGTATGCACTTGTATTATTAATCATCCTTAGCCACTACTTGATAGTATGCACTAGGTAAAATTCACATTGTGATCTTAACCGGCAAAGGACCACAAGAGAACCTAAATTGCTCATAACCAAGAAGATAAACCGAATGTCCCACTCACTGACTCAAACCAAAAGGATCAATCCTGTTTAAAGTTGTACTTGTAATAGCTTAGGTTACCCCATTAATCCTCCATATTTATCCAAGTAATATGAGATTTAAATTTCATTAAATTTGTAATAACTATTTTGTGAGAATGTTATTTAAATTTATAAAAAATAAATTTTGATTAAGAATCTATAAAGATATTTTAATAATTTTTTTTAATTAAGGTTATTTGTCACAGTCGTTATATTATAGACCGCGGTGCATGTGCACCGCGGTAAAAAACGGCGCTGTTTCTTTAAGTAAAGAAACGGCCCGCCGTTAGAGTTAACGGAGTCCGCTTATTTGGCGTATTAAACACCAACTGATACTATAGTATATCTAAACCAACACTGCAGTTATATCAAAATGATACTGTAGTTATAGTGAAATGAAACTGCAGTGTATATAAAATGAAACTGAATAACATTTCACATATTTGAGTGTATATTGTACAATGAAGCTGTAATTATATCAAAATGATCATGTAATTGTGTTTTAATGAAAATATAGTGTATATAAAATAAAATTAAATAACATTTTCACATATTTGAGTCTATAAATATCGAATGAAACTATAGTTATATCAAAATGAAACTGTAGTTGTGTTGAACTGAAACTGCAGTGTATACAAAATAACACTGAACAACAGAGTTATTTTTTGCAAAAGGGTGCAAAACGGCGGAAACAAATACTGTTTATTTTCATTTAAAAAAAAAAGACGCGCGGTGCATAATATAATTTGCCTATTTGTCAATAGTGGTGCTGCTAGTATGCCAATAGCCCAAAACAAATAATATTTAGCCCAATCAAAATATCCAATAGCCCATTAGCCCTACCCTTCTCCGCTTCTCGGCTTCTCCACTCTCCGGTCTCTCCGTCTCGGACTCTCGGCTTCTCCACTCTTCCGCCGGATTCCGCCCTCGTTTATCGTCTCCACAGTTTCACTGCTTTCTCCCTCGTCTCTCACCGCCTCACGCCCGCCGCGCTCGGCGAAACTCCGCTCATTCTCCCTCACGCCCTCTGCCCAGTCAGCGACTCAGCGGCTGCAACTCGCCAACTCCTCCGTCTCATCTTCTAGTCGTCCTCAAGGAGTCAAGGTAAATTTTAACATATTTAGTTAGTTTAATTATTATCTTTAACAATGAAGTCTCTAACTCTCTGTTCATGTTTAGTTTAATTATTTGTCTTTAGTTTTTTTTTTTAAATTTTTTTTTTAATTTTTTGCTTTACTACTATTTCTGCTTCTGCTAGCCTGCTACTACTAATTTTGCTCCATGTTCTTTATTTTTAGCATTGTTAAAACATAATTGATCTTAAAACTATCATCATTGTAAGTTTAAATTCATGACAGCTCTACATTGTTTCTAATCCTGGGTACTGGAAATGTTTCTATCGTCATTTTAAGTTTCAATTCAAAGCATATTATTATATTAATATACTGGACACTGGGTTTAAAACATTTTGTCTACTTATTTATTTTGGATTTGAAATTATGTAGTATTGCACATTAGAATTTTTAATTATTAATTGAGGAATTATTTGTTATTCTTTTGGTTATAGCATTTACAGCATTTACTTTGGTCGGTTTTTATGGTAAAAAATTTCAATCTGTTGTGAAAAGCCACTGGTGTGGGCTGCAGGCCTAGGCGGCTGCTGCACTCTACAATTATCAGATATTGGTTAATAATTATCAGATATGTTATATCTAATGTACTCTACTGTTAATATGTTATAATTGATTAATATGTACTGTTAGATGTTACTTTGCCTATAATAGACTCTTGAATCAGGGTTTAACACTTTAACCTCAATCTCCTTTCATTTATCAGAACGCCGCGACTACCACCAGCCACCGTCGCGGCAGTCACCGTTCATCGCTGAGAACCCTCGCCAATTACCCTATATCTCTCCCATATTCTTCAAGAGCTTGTTGAATGGCTTGCATTTCGTCTAGTACTGCAGCAGCTTCTTCTTATTCAGCTTTGAGTTTCCTCGGCCGGCAGCAAAACTACGCTGCCAAGCTGTACGCCAACCACCCGCGTTTGTCCTTCGCCGGACGCGTCAACTTGGATTGCTTCAATCTTCGGCTTAATTCTACTTCTCGGCGTGCTTTCACTTCTTACCGCTCACTTAATCCGGTCCTCAATGCTCTTTCTTCCTTCGACGGCGCTTCTCGTAAGAATCCAATGTCTCCTCTTTGATTTTTACAGTCCAAATTGTGTTCAATAAATAATAGAAATGAACTGCTAAATTATTTCTCCAGGAATATTTCTGTACATTTTTTAAATTCTCATTAGATCTGCATTTCAATTCCAATGACTGACTCCTGAGAGAGGTGTGTGTGTGTGTGTGTGTGTGTATATATATATATATATATATATATATATATATATATATATATATATATATATATATATATATATATATATATATATATTGCCTAATGAAATTCTGTACTTTTATTTAATCAAGAATCATCAATCAGTTGCCAAAGTTGGTTGTCATTGTAGAAGAAAGAGTGGTTGTGCTGGTCATTGGTGGAGGAGGGAGGGAGCATGCCCTTTGCTATGCTTTACAACGATCACCTTCATGTGATGCTGTCTTTTGTGCACCTGGAAATGCCGGGATTTCTAGTTCAGGAGATGCTACCTGTATATCGGACCTCGATATCTCCAATAGTTCAGATGTGATCTCATTTTGCCACAAATGGGGAGTTGGGTTGGTTGTGATTGGACCTGAGGCTCCTCTTGTTGCGGGTCTTAGTAATGATCTTGGTAAGGCAGGAATTCTAGCATTTGGTCCTTCCTCCGAAGCTGCTGCCTTGGAAGGGTCTAAAAGCTTCATGAAGAGTTTGTGTGACAAGTATGGGATCCCAACAGCAAAGGTTTCTTTCCTACTTTCTACTGTATCGGTGTAATACCCATTTGCTTTGCAGCTAATGTGTAGTGTCTTAAACGTCATTTCATGATTTCATTCTCTTTTTTTTTTTTTTTTTTTTTTTTTTTGAATACTACTGACTCTATTACAACGCAGTATCTGTTCACAACTACTTTCTCAACCTATTGAAGCACAAAGAGTCAATATCGCCTCCACTGAGGCTCGATCTCACAACCTCTCATATGAGGGAGTAACTTGGTGTCACTGGACCACAAGGTCCTTGGCGATTTCATTCTTATTTAAGCGGTGTTTTAATATAATACTCACATGTATAAGTTGGTGCAGTATCAAACATTTGCAGAAGCGTCAGAAGCAAAAGAGTATATCAAACAGCAAGGGGCGCCCATTGTTATTAAAGCAGATGGATTGGCTGCTGGTAAAGGAGTAACTGTTGCCATGACACTTGAGGAGGCATATGATGCTGTGGACTCGATGCTTGTAGGTGGTGTTTTTGGCTCTGCTGGTTCTCAAGTTGTTATTGAGGAGTACTTGGAAGGTGAAGAAGCATCATTCTTTGCCTTGGTAGATGGGGAGCACGCCATACCTTTGGAATCCGCTCAAGATCACAAACGAGTTGGAGATGGTGATACAGGACCTAATACTGGTGGTATGGGAGCTTATTCTCCGGCCCCTGTCTTGACTAAAGATCTCCAAACTGAGGTTATGGAGTCTATCATTCTTCCTACAGTAAAGGGAATGGATGCTGAAGGGTGCAAGTTTGTTGGGGTACTTTACGCTGGGTTAATGATTGAGAAGAAAACTGGACGACCAAAGTTAATAGAGTACAATGTGCGTTTTGGAGATCCTGAGTGCCAGGTTAGGTGACACATTTCCTTATGCTATCAGCACTTCACAATATTTCCCATGTCTGATCCACTGAATGCTTCTCTTTTCTCTGATTACTTGATATTCAATTCTGGCATTGCCGTGTTGGTTTTTCAATGTTGAATGTTGTTATCTGTATCTTGGACCAAAGTGCATATTCATGTACAATGCTACAAAATACTACAATTAAATTGTAAGAGTATGTTTTTGTACAAAGAGCAGGATAGAACAACTCTCAGTCGCAGAAACCGAAGGATAATAACATAGTGTTTTTGCCAAGGACCTTGTGGTCTAGTGGCACCAAATTGCTCTCCCATATGGGAGGTTGTGGGTTCGAGCCTCAGTGGATGCGGTATTTACTATTTGTGATTCAGTAGGTTGAGAAAGTAGTTATGAACAGATACTGCATTGTAACAAAGTCAGTAGTACTCAAAAAAATAACATAGTGCTTTTTTTTTTTTTTTTTTTTTTTTTTTTTTTTTTTTTTTTTTTTTGTGGAGGATTGGTGGTCATAACTGGAAGTGTTCACTGCAATTCTGTAACATACGATTTGTGGAGAAATGTTTGAATGTTTTATACAAACCTGTGCCATGCTAGGTGATAAACAAGAGAGACTTCCTGTAAAAAGATGATCGTTGAATGCTATAACTCTTTAATGTCAATCATTAACTATAATGAAACTGCTCTCTGCAAGAATTAGCCTGAATATCTTCTTTCTTAATACACTTTGCAGGTATTGATGGTCCGTTTAGAGTCTGATTTGGTCCAAGTCCTGCTTGCAGCTTGTCGTGGAGAACTAAATGGGGTATCTTTAGACTGGTCTGCTGGGTCAGCCATGGTGGTAGTCATGGCCAGTGAGGGCTATCCTGGAAAATACAAAAAGGGAACTGTGATTCAGAAACTCAATGAAGCTGAGCAAGTTGCTCCATCCGTTAAAGTATTCCATGCTGGAACTGCTCTAGATGCAGACGGAAATTTCATTGCGACTGGGGGACGCGTTCTTGGGGTCACCGCGAAAGGAAAAGATCTTCAAGAGGCACGAGACAGAGCATACCAAGCTGTCGAGCAAATTCATTGGCCGGGAGGATTTTTCAGGCGGGATATTGGTTGGAGAGCACTGCCTCAGAAACAATACTCCCGCTAAACATCAGAGCATTATAACAACATGACAACTCTGGCGTATGTTGGGGATTCACCGGGATGCCTTAGGAGTTGGCATCATTGATGGCTTTTGAGTTCAAGCATCGTTCTCTTGACAAATCAGGCATTGAAGACCGTCTTCGAGATGAGATCCTGCAGACTAGAAGAAAAGCTACTCTTATCAAAACTGATAGAACTTGAATGGTTTCCTTCTACTCTCATAAAAATTGATCAAAACTTGAATGGTTTCCTCCTTTTTTTCTCCTTCAATTAGATGTTCCTAGTGGAATGTGTTGCACCTATATATATATATATATATATATATATATATATATATATATATATATATATATTGGCTTCGGCCGCTTGGCTACATGCCCTTGCTATATTATCTTGTACTTGTTGAACTTCTAATTGTAAAAGTACTTTCTTTTATCTCAACTCTTATTTTGTATGATGCCGATAGTATCTGATATAATTAAATATGATTATATACTTTTCAAAAAAATATGATTATATACAATGTAATAACTTTAAAGAAAGTGTACTTTTGTAGAGTATTATTCTCATTATATATTGTAATTTAAATATTAAATTCTCTTTTTTGTTAATTATGTGTTCAAGTAAAAAAGAAGAGTTTATTCAGAGTCTTGATTTTATTATTATTATTTTTCATGAATTGAAGGGAGGAGAAGATTGGAGTCCGGAACCCACTCCTAAACAACTATATGCCCAAGCCATATTAGAGGGGGAGATCAGTGCAAGAATATCAACTATTCTATTTTGCTCATTATTTCGCTTTGGCAAGCTTCAAATAAATTAAGCACATCACCCCATGTAACTACCTTTAATCACATAATAGCTTTTTTGGAGTAGCAATTTGAGAGCTTTTAATTGATGTAGTGGTCTAGTAGCATGAAGTGACGAAGTGGCTCTTTTAAATGAGAAGTTATGGTTGGAGCCGTGGGGGCGGCAATATTGACTCAGGTGGTGGTGTGGTTGCGAACAGATACTATATTGCTGATAGAGTCAGTAGTACTCAATTGAATGTGTTATTTTATGACTAACGGATAGTCGACGATAGAATTTAGTATCCAAGCTGATAGTATTAAGAGACCTTTTTACATTGAGAATTGGTAAGTAAAATTACATATGATAGGGAATACCCTCTTATCGTATTGTCCCATACACCTGGTCGGAATCGAGGCTGCTAGCCAAAAGGAGATGTATCCGAGCAAGTTCCGACCTCCTTGCACGCCGACCCGACCCGAGGCTGCTGGGCTAAACATAAGTCCGCTCGTATCAGTCTTTCTTTGTTGAGCCCCGAGCATATCTGGTTGGACCGTCGGACCGACTATCCAACCAAAGATACTCGATACACTAAAACAGTGCTCCTTCAACCGAATACACTCTCAGTGAGCCCGATGAGACCAGGTATCTCTTAGCACATGGAAGGATCAGCCAAGCCTCCGACACATCTTTTGGGAGAGTTTGAATACAAGGTCAAAATTTATGCAACTCTCATTTGGTAAGGGAAAAAAATAATTTATGCAACTCTATTTGGTAAGGGGGAAAAAAAAAAAGAAAAAAGGTTACTCCGTAATAGAGAGCTTATGTATATATTAACGTATATAAGTTCGTAGTTCACAAGGCAGAGAGAAGTTTCTAGAACTGTCGACGTAGCCTCACCTAACTCCACTCTCCCCTTATCTTCTACTCTTTATACATTTTCCCCTCCATCTTCAACTTCTTCGCCAGGGTTAGGGTTTTTCTCTTTTCCCCTCAACCCCCATATCTCTACCTCTCTTCTCTCTCTCTACGGAGTAACACCACTACAGTGCTCTGCCTATACAGATTGATGGCGTCGTCTACAGCTCAAATTCACGCTCTTGGAGCTACGCATTTCTCAACTAAACCGTCCTCCTTGAGTAAGAAGCCGCCAGGTACGGTGTTTTTTGGGCAGAGATTAAACAAGGCACCTTTCGGAATCAATCTGAAGAAGAGCGCCTGCAATCGGAGAAATGCGCCGTTTCGGGTCGTGGCTGAGAAAGTGGTCGGGATTGACCTCGGGACGACTAACTCTGCCGTCGCGGCCATGGAAGGAGGGAAGCCGACCATTGTGACGAATGCCGAGGGACAGAGGACTACTCCCTCGGTGGTGGCGTACACCAAGAATGGGGATAGGCTCGTTGGACAGATTGCGAAGCGCCAGGCGGTGGTTAATCCGGAGAACACTTTCTTCTCTGTCAAGAGGTTTATTGGGAGGAAGATGGCTGAAGTCGATGAGGAGTCTAAGCAGGTTTCCTACAATGTTATTAGAGATGAAAATGGAAACGTCAAGCTCGACTGTCCTGCAATTGGAAAGCAATTTGCTGCTGAAGAAATCTCTGCTCAGGTATTAGCCTCATGCCTTTCACATTTTCCAGTTTCTGTTATACCACTATTGTTTGTTCATTGGCAAAATGGATGTTTATGATTGGTAAACAATTTACGTTTTGTCGTATGCCTTCTCTGTATATGAATTGGCTCCCCAATAATCCTGATTCAAAGGGACTCAAGTTTTATAGGCACTACTATTCAATGAATAAAGTAGATTCTTTAGGATGTGTTATTGAAATACTACAGCACATGTAAAAGGGATCTTTAATGTACAATGGATGCTAGGTTACTGAACGACTGTTCTTTGTTTGTGATTGAATATGCTAGTGGAGTGTTTTTAGACTGATTTCTCTTATCTAAATTTATGTTAATCTCATCATTTGGACTGATTTAGGTCTTGAGAAAGCTTGTGGATGATGCATCAAAGTTTTTGAATGACAAAGTTACCAAGGCTGTTGTTACAGTTCCTGCATACTTTAATGATTCTCAAAGAACAGCAACTAAGGATGCTGGCCGGATTGCTGGTTTAGAGGTTCTACGTATTATAAATGAACCTACTGCTGCTTCACTGGCCTATGGATTTGAAAAGAAAAACAATGAAACAATATTGGTGTTTGATCTTGGAGGTGGAACCTTTGATGTATCAGGTATCTATTCAACCTTCTTTGTACTTCATTCCCTGCTTGCTGATAGATGATAATGTACTGTTTCTGTGATAGAATAATGTGAATCCCATGAAAAGATGTGCTAATGATGCTGTTTTGTTTTTGAGTACAGTTCTTGAGGTTGGTGATGGTGTATTTGAGGTGTTGTCTACTTCTGGAGATACCCATCTTGGTGGTGATGATTTTGATAAGGTATGCTTTGTTATTCCCCAAGAAGAAAGTTCTTAGTTTAGTTGCATTTTCAACTTCCTTCTAATTTCACCTAGTTTGCTGTTAAAATTGTTGGCTTCTGAGTTATTTGCTATTTCAAGAGTCATTTATCCATGCTGCTTACATGCAGAGAATTGTCGATTGGCTTGCTTCAAGTTTCAAGAAGGATGAAGGCATAGATCTTCTCAAGGACAAACAAGCTCTTCAGCGTCTGACTGAGACAGCTGAGAAAGCTAAGATGGAGCTGTCATCATTAACACAGACTAACATCAGGTATCACCATGTTAATTTAAAAACTTATGACTCCTCCTTAGAGCACACTGTGAACTCACTGCTCTAAACAAAGAGAAACAATAGAGTATATTGCAAATTCTTTACTGACTATATTCTGTCTGTTTTCCCAGCTTGCCCTTCATTACTGCTACATCAGATGGTCCTAAGCATATTGAAACCACTATTACTCGAGCTAAGTTCGAGGAGCTGTGCTCAGACTTGCTTGACAGGTACAGTGACTGAAGCTGCTTGTACACCCATTTGCTAAAACATCGTTCTAATTATACCTTCTCCTATTTCTCATCAGGCTGAAAACACCAGTTCAAAATTCCTTGAGAGATGCAAAGCTCTCATTTAGTGATATTGATGAAGTGATCCTTGTTGGGGGCTCAACTCGGATTCCTGCTGTTCAGGAATTAGTCAAGAAACTGACTGGAAAGGACCCTAATGTCACTGTTAACCCTGATGAAGTTGTTGCACTTGGGGCTGCAGTTCAGGTTAGATATATTTTTGCACATTGTAGTAATCATACTCGCACCAGTTTTTTTATCTTGTTATGATTCCTAAATCCAATTTGGTTTATTTATTTAGGCTGGTGTTTTGTCTGGAGATGTAAGTGATATTGTTCTCTTGGATGTGACTCCATTATCCATTGGTTTGGAAACTCTGGGTGGTGTCATGACAAAGATCATCCCCAGAAATACGACCCTGCCTACATCCAAATCAGAGGTATTTTCAACAGCTGCTGATGGTCAGACAAGTGTAGAAATTAATGTCCTCCAAGGTGAGAGAGAATTTGTGAGGGACAACAAGTCTCTAGGTAGCTTCCGTCTCGATGGAATTCCTCCCGCTCCTCGAGGTGTTCCTCAAATTGAGGTCAAATTTGACATTGATGCAAATGGTATTCTCTCTGTTACTGCTGTTGACAAGGGCACTGGGAAGAAGCAGGACATCACCATTACAGGAGCCAGCACATTACCCAGCGATGAGGTACATCTTCAAATTCAATTTGCGCTTGGCAACAGCTCGTACTTGATGCTTAGATCTTCGAACTTTTGTTTGGATAATTAATTGGATCTGCATCTTGGTGGATTATGATGTTTTTAACAGTTCTCACATGAATTGATTCCAATGAATTCTATCTAATGCAGGTAGAGAGGATGGTTAGTGAGGCTGAAAGATTTGCCCAGGAGGACAAGGAGAAGAGAGATGCGATAGACACAAAGAACCAGGCAGACTCTGTTGTTTACCAGACGGAGAAGCAGCTGAAGGAACTCGGAGAGAAAGTACCAGGCCCCGTGAAAGAGAAAGTCGAGGCTAAGCTTGGAGAACTTAGAGATGCAATCTCGGGAGGGTCAACTCAAGCCATGAAGGATGCAATGGCCGCACTTAACCAGGAAGTCATGCAGCTGGGTCAGTCACTCTACAATCAGCCCAGTGCATCACCTGGCGCTGGTCCAACACCCGGTGGTGGGTCAGCAGGGCCATCAGAATCATCAGGGAAGGGACCCGATGGAGATGTCATTGATGCCGATTTCACTGACAGCAAGTAAGACTCCCCCCACCCACCCCAAGGTAAATTTTGAGCCATTCCTCTTTTCAACTTCCCTCATCTAGTGCATGCATACAAGGAGATGAAGCTTCTAATTTTCATGCAACAACCTTCTCTAGTCAAGGTTTGAGAAAGTTTGAGCATAATCGGGAGCTAGAAGTGAGGTGAAAAACATGGAGAGCTTTTGATATAGAATTCAATAATTGTTTTCGATGAGTGAATGGAGCGATAGAATGTTAATGAACAATGCTAAACTCTGTACTTCTGATAATAGTAATGCTTTTATTGTTGTCCCAGTTTTCGTGTACAAACTACAAAACAAATACATTAGCCTCTAAAATACATAAAACCCAGCCTCAGAAATACTCCAAGAGGTTGCCTGGGAAGGTTAGCTGCTCTAGCATCCAAGGTTGTAATTTACACTTCTTTCAGCTACATACATACACGCCTATAAAAAAACCACAACAATTAATTGCACATCAATTTCAACATCTATAGAGTAAAAATACTTATTCACTGTGTGCATTGTGATTTCGAATTAGACAATTCTTCTATACTCAATGTAACCACATATATAACCAAAAGAACAAAAACTTGACATTGGGCTTAGTTTGGCGAAGCTGGGATTATCTAAGTTTTTTTTTAAAAAAAATTGATTACAAGTTCGATTTCTAGTATGAGCGGTTTATTGACTTTAATTTGAGTTGGTCAACTATGAGTAACCTAAGCTTTGCCTATTGTGGAACCCACTTTGGACTAACAAGGGCATCTACTCTAGCTAGCTTTCATATTTAAATATCATTACTTGATAAGTAGAATAAGCAAACTAGGCCATAAATATCATTACTTAATAAGTAGAATAAGCAAACTAGGCCATCTACTCTAGCTAGCTTTCATACTTAAATATCATTACTTAATAAGTAGAATAAACAAACTAGATTGATTTACCTTGTAGTACTTTGTCTGGTTAAGTTTTTAGCCCTTAAGATGTGAAGCATGTATATATTTAGGGTGTGTTTGGTTCATACATGGGAATCAGAATTGGAATGAGAATTAAATACTTTATAATGGTAATGAGTTTTGGTGAAAGTATTTTGGATGTTTGACCATGTATATATTTTGCATGTTTGCATGTAAGGTAGAATTGGAATGATTACGTTTTGTTGTGTATGAATGTATGATGACCCTATAATGGGAATAAATGTTTTAAAAATATATTAAAAAAAACAATGTAATTGATCTTAATATAATGACATCCAGTTCATCAATATGAACAAAAAAAATCAAAATAAAAATTTAAAAGTACTAATCCAAATTTAAAAACTAAAAACTAAATTACCAGTAAAATGGGATGATAGCTAGTTTTAATTAGGGAATGAGATTTTTAATGGAAGGAGTAATCAAATCTCATGTTTTAAAAAGTTAACCAAATAAATCAAACACACCCTTAGTTTGTTCAATTACGGTCAAAATGGCATATTTGGACCCTCTAGACTAAATATGCTAATTTGATGAATGATTAAATCTACCACCCAAATAATTGGAGGACTAAATTTATACAAATATGATGACTTGAAGATTAAAAGTATGATTTGTGGTTGATTATGAGTGGAAAAGCGATGATTTTACATTTTTACCTGGTTCAAAAGTGTGAAATTTCGGCAACTGCGACGGGAGCATCCCACGGCCTGAAGCCGGTGGGACCATATCGGGGGCTGAGGCGAATAGGACTCTGAGAAGCACTCATCGCGCCTTTCTCACTTCTCCGCTCATAAAAATCATCATACTGACCCATCATACTCAACGGTTGACGGCTCTGCCTCGCGTAATAGCTGTTGTTGTTATATTGAAGACCCGGACCCGGACCCCCCATTGCCCTACCCGAAACCAACCTGTTCACCCCTCTGAGATGATCCAATGTCGGCTTGCTTCCACTCTGATATCCATGGCGATGTTGCCTGTAGTTCATGTGATGAGACGGTGAGAACTCATACGTTGTTGTCGGAGCATTGTAATGGCCGCCGCTACTACTTTGCTGTTGAGCATTATTCAAGCTTCCAAAACTCGGCATGCTCTGAACCTTATGCATCCGATTCTTCCCCCCGCCGCCGCCGCCGCTCCACACACATCCTCCGCCGTCGTCGTCCGGAGATCTCGGAGAAGAACAGCCGGATGAACCGGAGAAAACCGAGTGATTTTGGCCGAGACTAGTACGCGCCGCCGCCGGAGGCTTTGTTAACCCTACTGCGGCGGCGCGAACGATGCCGTTGATGGCGTCGATGTAGCGCTGTTCTACGGCCTCGCCGGAGATGTTTAGCGAGTCTAGCAAAATCGGCTTTGCCGGGAACAGGAAGGCTCTCAGCCTCGGGGAGCCGTTGTCGGCTACGCACCGTCCGCATTCGTCGATCATGTAGCGGAGATCTTCGTCGGATTTCACCGAAACTAGGGCGTCCAGATCCTCCGGCACTAGCTGGTACTTCAGAGTCATCTCGCCGCCTTCCATTTGGTACGTCAGCTTCTTCATTAATTCTGTTAAATCATATATGCTTTTAGCCTTTCACATCCTAAGAATTACATTTCTTCACCATAACTGCATAAGAACATGATCATTGAAGCCCTAGAAATAAACTGGATTGTGAACCCTTATAACTTAGGCTTTGATTCATCATCAATCTTCTTAAATCCAAAAACAATGTTTTAGAGAATAATCAAAATGCAGGCCAATGAACTTTCCCCATTGATCCAATGCATGAAGCATTTGATCTTCATGGGATTCAATTCCTATGCCACAATCAATTTCAGCAAAAATTTAAAAAAAAAAATCATTAATTACCTTGAAATTTAATGTCTCGTGGGACGGAAATAACCCTCGTCTCCCCGCCCACATATTTGAGATGGCCGTCGGTCGGCCGTGGGACAATCTTTCCTCCATGGCTACACAAGAATTTTATCTTGTCTTTAGGTGATTCTGGAGCCGATGTCGGTGCAGAATCACATCCAACGATTTCCACCGAAACGGCACAATCCGTCGACATTGAGAAAAGAATTAACGTTGTGGCCTAAAACTCAGAAAGAAATGCATAAAAAACAACAATAGACAAGAAAAGACAAAAAAAAAAGGGTGAATTTGGTTTCAATATTGAGATTTCATAAACAATCGGATAGATTATATGAAACCTCAACCAAAATGTTTAGGAGAGAATTTCCTATGAACTATTGGGATTTATTTGGGTTACCTGTAAGAACAGAGATCAGTTGGAATATTTATACTTGGGAGATAAGAGTGGGAACATCTTTAAAAAAAATTTGAAGTATATACACACACGTCATTGTTATGTTCCCACGGACAATGCCCAACATGTCTACAAAGGTATTCATAAATAAATATGGCGTAATAAATATGGCGTAATATTGAGAGTTGGACCAATTGGAATATTGTAAAACAAAATTACTTCTAATTCTCATAGTATTAACTATTAAGTGATAACCAGTTTGTTTGGCGTGAGTGATCGTGCACTCTCATCCCTTAATAAAGGTTGGGAGTTCGAACTCCTTCTCGTATAAAAAAAATTAATCTGGCCACCACTTCGTCCCTTAATTGGGACAGTTTGGTGCGAATGAGGATTAGTCGGTACGGGTTTGAAGATGTCTCCTACAAAAAAACTATTAAGTGATAAGTCATGTGTAAGGTAGCACGGCTATGTTTCATGGCCAAGTCTACGAAGCTACAAAACAGATCCTTATCAAGTAAGAATGATTGTTATATTATTTTATTTCTTATTCATTTGCATTATGATTGTTTTGCATGACAAAATAGAGTTGTTAAAATGGGTTTAACTTGTCAAGTTAGTTTATCCTGCCACACAAAGAAGGGATATGTTGGGAATTTAGAAGCTCAATCCGTTGCAGGGCAAACGGGCTTAATCCATTAAACCTTATCAGGTGGAAGAGACAAAAAATTTTGTGTACAACATATATACATTTTTAATATAGTTAATGTATATTATTTTTATGTACTAAATGTATAATATTTGATAGTATACAAAATAATGTATATTCAGTATACAAATAATGTATCTTTTATTCATGGGTTGTGTAGACCATGGTCAATGGAATAATGATTGGGTGGAGGATGGGTTGGCGGCCTCTCAATATGAAGACTAATATTTTAAGAAGTTCTATTTAAATTTTTTAAACTTTGTACTAATTTTGTTTTAGATTATCATTATTTCATTAGTCACTGACGAGCTCCAAAAGCATAACCATAAAATTTATTGACAAATAGTTAAGTTCCTTATACTTCTTTCTAAAGAGAGACATGAATGAAAGATTCAAATTTTAAGTTTATAACAAGGAGTGTACACCTAACCCCAAAGCTGCCTAATTGTGAATGGTAACATCCCTTCGTTATAGGGCATGAAATGACTGGCATATTACGGCAATTTATATCATGGATCAGAGTCCATAAAGCATTGTAGACCTTAATCAAAATAAGGTACATAATAATTCCATAATACATGACACAAAAAATCACATTACAAGACATACACATTTTATATATTTACTTTTATTTTTTAAATTTGGTAAAGCTACAAAATTTGTGTTTATACCGTACAGAATTTCACAAGACAAGACAAAAATTCACAAGTACATAATTTAGTCAGTACATAATTTGCTACAAAAATACTTGGTTAGTATTTGTGTTCATAAGTACAAAATTTCTCAACACAAGCATAACATAAGACATAACTACTAATTTGTTTTAGGTACAGAATTCATACACTTAAAGTACATAATTTAACAACAAAAGACACGAAAACTCACAAAATAAAACACATCCACATGTACCAGGATCCACAGTGCACTATAAACTGGGATCCATAGTATAAGGATTGGCATATTACAGTGCATTAGAATGTAAAGCATTTATAGAGAAAAACACACAACCTCTTCATATAATAATCTGTTGTTCAAGGAGGAAAACCGCGACTAAAGAAATTAGAGTACAACATTAGTGCACATTTTAGAACATGTCCAACACCATCCACCATATACATGCAGTACTCAGTCTTGAAATTCCACACTGGTAAACAAAACGGTTAAAGAGGATGAACTTTTTTTGCATTTCAAACACTGAACAATTTCTAATTGCTACACATCTTTCTGTTTGAGTATTGTCAGACCACTTGGTAGTTCTCAGTAACCAGCTGAGTTCTTTGAGAGAATTTGGGTGTGGCCCCACCTCTCAGCGGCAAAATGTTGGTAACCTGCATTGTTTTGTGTCCAATTATGTACATAATTCCCAGGAAGGTGATATAACTCCAAGGCTAACAGTGAGGTAAAATAGTAATACAACAAATTGGAGCAAAAAGCAAACCTTCAAGTCGCTGAAAGTTTTTGAAGAGGTGAAACGGGCAGATATTGGGAAAAAGGATGATGGATCAGCTGCAGGAACAACAAATTCTAGAGATCCACTGCAACACACAATAGGTTCCACATTAGAAACTAAACAAGTGTAAAGGTTGTACACCATGTAGTACAAAGAAACAAGCTTCAAAATTCGCTGACCTGCGATTTGAGGCATCGATGAGATCTATAGACCATTCCAGAACAGAATTTCTGGAATCATACCTGCAAATAAAGATTATTAAATTAGTAAGCAAACAGACACTCTTTTAAGTTCCAAGTGCAACTTGGCCATGCAAACATGAAACATTTGTAAATATTTAATTACGAAAAACCTACCCTCGAATATGAGAAAAAGTTACAAACAGATATTAGTATAAAAGGCTAAGTTCAACGTTTTCTGCTACTAATTACAGGGACTTGATCCATGGATTCCCTTGTCTTAATCTTCAAACATGTGGTAAGATGTACTACACTACTACTATCAGGGGTTATTTGCTATTTTTTGCACATGCATGTCAATTGTGTATAATAGTGTGAACTTGTGAGTTAAAGCCTCACCTCCAATCCCCATCAATCTGCTGTACGTTTGGGGCCTCTCTGAGAGCTGGGAGAGGCACAGAAACTATAACATTCTGAAGATCAATGTTTGCTGGAGTTTCATACTCAATGTTGACATAGGTTTCGTTTCCAGAAACTGAAGGCCAGCAGTTAACTAAAATAGCAAGATTTAAGCCATCAATTAGAAAGGATAAAGCAGAACCACTGAACCAATAATAGAGGCAAAGACAGACAAGAGTGTGTAAGGAATTAGACTGATATTTTTCATTAGTTAGGGTTATACTGATGATGTGATGTGTGTTAGATTATACTCCATATAAAGGTCTAAGTTGATATTTATTGAAAAGGCCTCTCCAGCTTCATGTACTTGTGAGGACAAATTTCTTAACAGTAATTCAATCAAAGAGCAAGAAGACCAGCAAATAAAGCTCACGTGTCAATGGCAGAATTGACTCGTCTGTTGATTGCATTCTCCATTTCAACAGACCAACACCATCACCAGATTGGCCAGTGGGAAAAGGCCTATTTGGATCTTTGAGGCCAAGAATATTTTCATTGGAAAACAATTCCTTGTTGACATTTGGATGTGTCTTAAAAAGGATTGCTGGATTACCGCTGGTATCAATCTGAAAGTTGCACAAAGCAATAATAATGATGACAACAATAATTGTCGTTAATAAGTTGCAAAGAACAAGTTTTGAACTATCAAGCATCAAGAATGGGGCAATTAAGATAAGTTGCAATGTACAAAAACTGAACTAACAAGCGTCAAGAATAGGGCAGTATCATTCTTAAATACTCGTGTAAAATATACAAGTCATTCTGATTACTGAATGTCAGTGACTAAACCTCAAAGTAAACTATCTAGCATCAATCACAGGTTGCTTTTATGAATCTTAATTACCTTAATAGAAATTAGAAAATTATGACCCACCTCAGGTTCACTTTCCCCACACTTTCAGAGCCTTTATTCAAGTCAAATGCTATTGAAAATTTGAAATAGTTACAATAGGCTGCAATTACATCTAGACCCAGATGTAAAACAGTAAACTCTAATTTCTTCAAAGTTCCCTCTATAAGAGAAAGGACTAGACTGACTTCCTGAATCACCAATCAGATAGTTATCACTCCCATTTCAAAGCAAAGCAGCCAACTACAACTATAAAAAGTAAAAAAAAACCAATATTGACATAATAATTTGTTTTTATTGAAAGAATATAAGTGACAAAAGCTTTTAATCAGATACAAAAGTATGTTCATCCAACATTCACTATATTTATTGAATTTGAATGAGATCCCCTAAACATTACACTTTCTGTCTCTTTCACCCCCCCTCTCCCTACCATACACACATACATTAGATTTATAAATTTAAAAAAAAAAAAAAAAAAAAAAAAAAAAAAAAAAAAAACATTTTTCCAATTACATAAAAATAGATGAATTTTAAAAAATAACCCATAGGTAAAATATTGCAGGGGAAGTAAATTTACCATAATAATAAATATTCCCCCTCTCCAACAAGTTAAGCGTTTCGTTAAGATGTGGCCAAATATATCAATAAGGACAGTTAAATAGACACGCATTCCTCATTGGCTGAAGGGAAGTGTGTGTCATATGTTAAGAGAGAGAGGACAACCTGAACTTGGATGAATCCATCTTCTTGGTTAAGAATTTGGAGACATAAGGATCCCTGCATGTCAAAGTTGCTGACTCCACCATCACGTTTTAGTGTTACACTAAGCTTTTCTTCCACAGTCAAGGTGACAGGATCAGTTGGTGGAAGACTTGCTGGCTTAGACTGGCCTATACTAGGTCTAACATCCTCGACAATAACTTCACCTTCAGCCTTCAGTGATTCCAAGAATTGGTTGGTCTTTTGTGATTTTCCTAGCTGCATACCAAGACCTTTTGGTGGAGCTGTAGCAGATGTAGGTTGGCGACCTAATCATAAAATTAGGATCAGTTATATCTCCCATGGATGGCATCAAAAAGATACTTAAATGCCAATAAGTACAACATTATTTCTTTCTCTTTTTTGGTTATATTTTAAAAGAAATGCTAACCCTTTGATTTGGTAGAGAATGAATCCAAATCAGCAGGCAATCCAAATCCACTGCCAAAACCACCTCCAGTATTAGACATGCTTGTATCACTGCCAAAACCAGAATCCATTCTTCCAGAGCCCATTGACTGTAGGGACATAAAACCTCCTTTCTCACCTCCTCGGTTCTTCTCAATCTGCAAAGCAATAATAATATCCAAAATCAGATAAAAATGAGGGTACCAACAAAGAATAGCTCTACAAGATGTCTAGTAGCCTCTAACATGGGCTTCAAATCACAGTGCCACCATACACGAAACAGAGAAGCAACTAGACTTTTGGTATGGAAGAGGTATAGTAGCAGTAAGTATCGCCCTTTATTGCTGGAGGATCTCTTTTATTGGCAAGAGGTCCACTAGGTCCATAGAAAACAATTTTTTTTGGATTATAACCTTTTTCTCTTTTTAAGAGAGAGAGAGAGAGAGAGAGAGAGAGAGAGAGAGAGAGAGGGCTAACATCTCATTAACCCTCATAGTTACCTTGCTTTTGTCAATCTCACTAGCTTTGCGCTTCATGACATCCTTAGTTTCATTAATCTTGCTCTGCAAGACCATCTTGTGCAATCTTTCTTCATGACTCTCCATTTCACAGTACTGTTTGACTTGTGCGCCCGTAACATTCTCCTTATGCCCCAGAGATATGACTTCATCAAATGCAAAAATGAGCTCAAATGCTGTTTTACATATGCCCTCCTCATCTAGGGAATAACAATACTCAGGCACCTAATTCTAGTTAAGGAATTGGCATTAAAACGTAACAAATACTTCAGGAAGCCTCCTAAGCTATGGTATTTTCTTTCTAACAAGAAAGATGCTAGCACTTAGTAGGCTGTAGTAGCTCAGAAGTAATATACAAGTGAGATTACCAGTTTATTATTTGTGGATAACAGAATGCAGCACAATTAATTGAATAGAATTTAGAACAAATAATATACAGCTGATTATAACATTCACGAGCACACTTACTGAGGTAATGAAAATAAATAAGAAAAAGGATACGAGTTTTGAAAGCAGTCTAAGTGTCTCCAGATCTTCTAGAATGTTGCTCTGTTTGTTAGTGACAAGCAGCAAGTACAGAGACTCTATTGGCTGATAAACATATCGCACATTTTCAGTCTCAACATAAGTGTGCTGTTTTCCAGTTCCAACCAATTTTGGGAAAGCAGCAAGGTATCCCTCAATTCTAATTCGAGACATGTCCACAAACTGCCTCGAAACAAGTGCTGCCAAGAAATGAGATAATAATCAATAGTGAAAATTCCAATTAACCAATGAACTGACCAAAATTGAGGAACTTAGGCATAATTGCATGAAATGAACCATTGAAAAACACATCCCACATCAGTAAAGTGAATAATCAATTTGTACCTTTTTTTTAATAGGTACGTCAGTATATATCAAATTAGATAATCTTTCCCATTTTCTCAAGGTTCTTCCTCAACAATTTTCTTTATATTACTCTCCTTTTCTACTTTTGTCCCCCACCCCATCTCCCTCTCTCTCAAGTAAGTAAGATCAAACAACTGAATATAATAACTTTCACATAATTATGATTGAATCAAATTGTTTTTTTTTTAAAAATAAAAACAATGACTAACGTAAGCATTCCTATGCAGTAAAATCATCCATACATTAGTCAAAGCCTACTACTTAATTAGATGCTTGTATCTTGTAATTGAGTTAAAACAATTGCCAGCATAAAACAGGTTCTAAATATAATGATTGTAGTCATTATGATATGTATCAATTCTTTCTAATTATTTTGTACAAAATTATATATTAACTAATTAATGCACATTACCAAAATTAGAAGCAAAGTTTAGGCTTATATAGTTATATTACTTGTGTGTCCCTCTAATACGCCTGTGTGTGCAGGGGTAAACTATAACTAGCACTACTGTTGTTCTAGAAGTAGCCACAGCAAGCAATACTGTAAACTCAATGCCAAAAATAACTAAAAGTTCCGTATTCACACCACATCAGCTCTGAGAATTGAGAAATCAAGGAAGGAAATAAATTACCTTTCCCAGATTTGGTTACAATGGAAGCTGCTAGAACAACCTGCATCACAGATCGATCAAAAACGCGAAATGGTTAAATCCTGCGAATATAAATCTCGAACTAAAGTACTGTAGCTTTTGACAAGGAGAGAACGCGAGCGGAGAACACTCACCATCTTGAACTCTCGATCCTTAGAAATGAGCAGTCAATTATGCTGAATCAGAAACCGGACCTGCAAATTTCAAAAGGAAAACAAAAGATTAAAGAGAATACATACAAGCTCTCCGACTACTCAACAACTTGTTATGAGCTGCTGTAGAACTAAAAGGTCTAGTATCAGCGTTGCAATGTGATCCGGAGCAGTATGTATTACAAATTCAGACAATTACACGAGATTCGGTTGCTTCCTAAACAGATCGGATAGTAGAAAGCCCTAAATCAAATGCCGGAAATTTAGACGAGCAGATCGGAGCCGTAGATACGGAAAATCTAAGAAGAGTATATACCTCAATGTAGAAACACTCGATTCGCGCCCCTTCTTTCGGTCTGGAGCAGTAAAAACTAAAAACGAGATCAGTGTGATTCAGTGAAGGAGCAAAATGAAATAATGAATGACGCACCAAACCAAACCGATGAGATGATCTGTGAGGGGGGTCGGGTCAGGCCGAAAACGCAAAGTCTTGTCTCTTGGGCTACTATTATGGACTCCCTTCAAAAGTTTTAAAAGCCTGCTAAATAGGGCCCCAAAAAAGACTCATCCCTCGGCCCAAATTAGGATTTCCATGTTGATCCATTCAGATTATTATACTGTACCTTGTAACAACACTATCGCACAGTAGTAGAAACCAGTCGTTATATCGTGGACCGCGATCAAAAAGGCGTTGTTTCTTTAAGTAAAGAAACGGCGCGTTGTTAGTGTTAACGGAGTGACACTACAGTGTATCTAAATCGACACTGTCTCACATATTATTTTTATATTATCAAATGAAACTGCAATTATATCAAAATGATACTGTAGTTGTAGTGAAATGAAACTGTAGTCTATATAAAATGAAACTGAATAACATTTCACATATTTGAGTGTATATTGTACAATGAAGCTATATTTATATCGAAGAAACTATAGTGTATATAAAATAAAATTAAATAACAATTTTCACATATTTGAGTGTATAAATATTGAATGAAACTGTAGTTATATCGAAATGAAACTGAAGAACATAGTAATTTTTTTGCGGGCGCGAAACGGATTCCGTTAAAACAACGTCGTTTTGATGCGCGGTGCATAATCGATTATGCGTCGCGGTGCACGATATAATTTGCCGTAGAAAACACAGCCTTATATGAAACCGCCTTATGCATGAGGTATAAGAATTGTTCCACGTATCCGTTGTGAAGCACAACAAATTTACGAGTGTAGTTATTTACATCTACATCTACAAACTTAAATAAGGGCTAAAGTTAGACTCCGTATTAAAAGTCTTTGTTGAAATGAATAATTCATATATTATTTTATTTTAAATGGTTTTAAGCAAATTTTGTACATAAAATTTGAATTCAACCCAATATACAACGGGTTTAATTTACCACCCACTGTGACATATTTAAATTGTCATCACTAGTCCCTAGTTCCTAGATATAAAAGTCAAAATAGCGTTTATATTTTCAATCTACATTCAATTTTTCAGTTTCATAGTGTATATATTTCAGCCTACACCAATGAGTTATAAAAGTCAAATTAGCTTGCCAATTTTTCAATCAATTATGTAACCAATTGACCAACCATTTAATAGGTAGGATACTAGAACTAGAAGCAGGAATAAAAGCTAGATTAGAATGACGTCAACAAGCGACAGAGAATTGCAAGCCATCCTTCCTATCGAATCGTTTTCAACCAATTTATTAACCATCATTGCCAAATCAACTAAACCATGAGGAAAACAGTTGCCAGAAAACATCTCAAAATTTGCATAAGCATCCGAAAGGAAGATACATGAAGAACAAGTTTTTCAGAAACAAAATGATTAAGCTTTAAGTCGTCCATAGAACTTGGCTTTCTCCTGGGTAGTTTGGAAGCGGCCATGGCCAAATTTGGAGGATGTGTCCATGAACTTGAGCTTGATCTCCTCCAATGCAACCCTGGAGGTTTGGTTCAGTAAGGACTGTCTCAAGGTGACAACGCGCTTCTTTGGACCCACACAACAACCCTTTATCATGATGTAGTCATCTTTCACGATGCCATAGTGAGGGAACCCTCCAATTGGGGTAATATCCTTCTCAGTCCTGACAACACAGGTTTAGCATTTAGCGCCCAAAAAAAAAAAAGCACTAAAAATGGCCTGGTACTTATAGATACTTATATGCTTTGGATCACATAACAGATGAAAGACTAAACGGGCGTGAAATAGACTGTCAAATGTAACAAGAAGATTTGGTATGGGGGCAAACCTGTCAAACTCAGTTATGGCCTGGTGGGACTCCTGACCAGCCTTCCCCAGCTTATACACTTTCTTATTCAACTCTGTGCGGTGATGATAACCATTTTGACCAGCACGGGCAACTGTGAATGACACCCTAGCCGGATGCCATGCCCCAATACAAGCAACCTTACGGAGCCCACGGTGGGTCTTACGAGGTAGACGGGTTACACCCCAACGAGTAACCACACCCTCATACCCCTTACCTTTGGTCACCCCAATAATGTCAATCATCTCATCTTTTTGGAAAACAGCATCCACAGGAACCTGCTTTTCAAAGAACCCATATGCATAATCAACCTTCTGAGCTACTGTTCCACCATTGACTTGAATCTCCATCAAGTGTGCCTTCTTCTGCTTAAGACCTTTCATTTTTCTTATCTGTAGAAAAAGAACAGTATACAAGTTGAACAGATCATAAATTCACTAGGTAGCAAGAAAATAAATAGTAGATAAAAGAACATGAAAAGAAAAATTGGCAGAAAGCAAATACCTGAGTGTGGACCAAGACCCTAATTATACAGCAGTACTTCTTCATCTTCTCCAACTCAGATTGAATTTCCTTTTTCCCTTCTTCAGTTTCAAGCTTCTTTGAGTACTTGGAAAAAGCTTTCTTCTTGGACTTGCACCAGTTTTTATAGAATCGCCTTCTCACTTCCTCGCTCAGATGTTGTGCCCAGACTGTATTCAGACAGCGAAGCCCACGTGGTGTTTTGACATAGCCAACAACTCCAACAACAACAATGGGAGGGGTTTCAATTACTGTCACAGCTTCACATGTCTCCTTCTTGTGCAGCTCTATACATATGCCAATCCATCAGACATACAATTGATTATTGTTTAAAAAACATATGTGCAAGATAAATTAATCCAGTCTATTATTTCATTAGTAACCCCTTTCATCAAAGCTGGTAAGGTGGCCAAATATATCCTTCTAGTAAAATGTAAAACAGCCACAATATACACATTCAGTTCTTTATAATGCTAATTAACTCGAATATCCTTCAAATCAAAACTTACTTGATCCTGGCTTCTCAACCTCTCGAACAATATGAGTCATACCAGCTTTATATCCAACAAAAGCAGTCAACCTACATGGCTTAGTCTGATCATCTTTAGGGAATGCCTTCACTGCATATATATATCACAGGGGAAGGGGGCATTAGTGATCAGCTATGGAGTATAAATTCCTAGAAATAAATGCACAAAACAACTAAAATCAAACCACAAAAGAACAATGATAAAGAATTCAGTAATAATGAAAATTATGGTATTTTCTTTACAACAGAATAATCAAGCATTATGATGAAAAAAGACATAGCACACGGCATAACAAATTAACAATACAACATATAAATACCAAAAAATGAAAATTTCACCCACAAAATAAATACAAAGTAAAAAATCTCCCAAAAAATAAAATATTTGTATAACCTTTTCCTCTTTGGCGAGATGCTCTCTTCCTAGGAAGGAATCCCAGAGAGCCATGTCTTGGATGCTCAAACTTGCGATGGGACATTTCCTGTTATTATTGTACAAAAGACTCAAAAACCTTATTCAAGTGCTACAACAAAAAAATGAAGTAAATTTATTATACAATGAAGAAACCTGCATCAGGAAAAAAAAAATTACTTAAAACATAATGGTCTGTTTAGTTGCAAATACTATAATTCATTATCTCCACATTCCAAATCCAACTACTCCCAATTTAAAAATATGGAGTTGACTAAGATATGAAACCTTTCTTCATACAAATTAGATTTTAAAGCAATGAAATTTAATTAAAATACATAATAATGAATAAATACTCCATGGTACCTTTATCTAGCAGATGATAGGTATCAGATAGCTACGTTTAAAAACTTACTGTATTGGATATTACTATCCACGGCCTCCACATACTGAATTGTACAAGTGGAATGGCAATTTTGGTCCAACAAATGTGTATTCATTTGCACCACATCCACACAGATTGGGTCAGTTAAGGGTTGGAAAAAAAATGTTTTAAATTTGGACATTCAACTCAAATGTTTTCAAAACTGGGTCCTAACATTATATGACAAGGGCAACAGTGTGAATTGACAAATAAATTATGTATTTAACAAATGGGAGAACAAACTGCACAGCAGCAACATAACAAGCAACAGAAGAGATGATCCATTGCATAATGCATCCAGTGAAGAACTAGTCTCCAAATGCAACAGAAAACATCAAAAGATTTTATAAATCAAAGATAGAGGATAATTGTATAAAACTCAAATGAGGTATCAGTTATAAGTTGCTAAGGAACTGGAGATAGAGACCTGAACCAACAGATCATACAGATAAATTTACATTGATGGCATACTTAGACAAGTAGATCACGTGAATTTTCCACCATTTCCAATGACAAGTAGAAATACACCCTGACCAAAGGCCTATGGCACTATGAAAATGCCAATTCTCTGGACTCAATAGTATTTCTTTGCAAGCACCCCATCATAGTGGAGATATGTGCAAAAGAGCCCTTTGGAGATTCCAGCCTTGATTAAACTCATCACATATTTAAGGGTGTGCATTTCAATTATCATTAGGAATCAGTACAAAACCTACAAGTCCACTCGTACCAAGATAAGCCATCTTCAACCATGTTCAAAAAATCACGAATTTGCGGCTTTATAACGTGTTTGAGAAAACAAATTTAAAGATCAATAGACAGATTCAGAAAACAGCTTTAAAAACATACAACTTTCTTTGAGGAATAGCCAACAAAAAAAAAAAAAAAAAAAAAAAAAAAAAAAAAAACATCAAACGAATAACTCAAACTGTGATTATATACAGTGTTATGCTATAAAAGCCAGATATGTTGTATTCATACAACAATTATAGACAAAGATATAATATAATCAAATCTAACTGCAACAAACTTACCTCCTATCTCAGAGCAACGATGCGAAAGAAAATGAGTAGTTTTGGGTAAGGCAACTGCTGCGTTCCTGAGAAACCCTAGACGTGAGATTTTATACGGAAGTCCAGATGACGATTAACGGCTCAGATTGAGTGATGGCGGTGCGGCCCGTAACAACAGTTTGATTAAGGTCATCTTTAGGGTTTTGACTTTTTGAGTGAACAATGTATAAGTCTATGGGCTATAAATGGGCCAGCCCGTTAACACTTATCTCGGGCTTGGCCCACTGGTTATTAGGGATTAGGACGGTTTGGTTCAAACCGGATCGCGCATTGTACAAACCGCAATCGTTATACCATAGACCCTGGTCTAAAAGGACGTAGTTTTGAATTTTAATTTTGACAACGACGGTTAGTTGTCAATTTACGTTACAGGTTTTTTTTTACTGTAAAGCATGTGTATGTGTCTTGTGTTATGTGTTTTTGTGTCTCATGCTATGCAGTTCTTTATCTTAAGCGTATGAATTTTATACCTTAAAAAAATAAATATAACATGTGATTTAATTATTTGTCTAGTGTTATGCAGTTTTTGTTCCTTGTATTATGTGTTTTTGTTTCTTATGTTATGCAATTCTGTATCTTAAGAATATTGATTTTGTAGCTGAATTAAAGTAAATATAAAACATATGTATGTGTGACACCCCAAAAATACTCTTCTATAAACTCCTAATCTATCAAATTTTAAAATTAAATTATTTGTATAATTTTACTCTATTTTTTCAAATAAGTATATATATATATATATATATATATATATATATATATATTCCTTTATTAAAAATGATTTGGTACAAGATATTTATATAATTGTTTATGATTTTAAAAGCCATATTTAATAAAAACATTATTTATCAAAATCTTAACTTAAAAGTTGGTCTTAAATGAACTTGCCAAGTCATTTTGTACATATCAAATTTCCTAAGTTCAAAAGGGTTTTTCTTTAACCCAAAACATGTTTATAACCCAACTTCCTAACTCAAATTACAGCACAATATACCTATACCCTATTAAAATATTTGAGACCAAACTCTAGCTATATTCACATGTTTTATAATCCATAGATCTTCAACTTTTTCTTTCATCCAAAATATTTCGGCACATATCCTATTTGCTATCTCTTCCGTTTCCTCTTTGGGCGAAGCACAGCAACGGACCGCGGCAGTGGTTGGCGAATAGCGGTGACCAGCAAGCCTTATCCTCTTAACCATTCCGCAACCCTCTCCTCCCTTATGGGAACCCCTGTCCTCTAATATCTCTAGGAGACGCGGTGAGGTCCTTGCGCATACTCGTTATTATGTGGGGTGTTTTGTTTATTTAAAACTGTGGTTGTTGCACCTTTATGGTGTGCACTTATCTCGTAAGTTCATGCCCGTTAGATAAGTAGTTGCATTGTTTGGGATTCGCTAAGGATTTGAATTAAAAAAAGAAAGGAGTTTGGAAGTTTGTTGATGCGAAATAGTAAGTATTGGTGGATGCATATAGACAATCGGACGATCGGACAACCTGATGAAGAATACTACTCTACTCGCGGTTTGGAGCCAGCTGTAGCAGTCTTTACTCGAAGAAACCAGCGTCATCACTCCCGTAGTATCATCTGCAATATCTAAGCTCACCCCAAGAGTTGAAGTGAATCTCCACGCAAGTGAAGACAAATATGAGGAAATGAAGTGATCATAGCTTAAAGATTATGGTTTAAGGGTTTTTAATCGTGAAAGAAAGACAAGTGTAAGTACCAATGCAACAAATCACACCAAGTGGATGCTTTGGGATCGATGGTGAAGATACTTTCAAAGGTTACACTATGAGATTTAAGAGTTTGACTTGGAGCGTGGAGAATTGGGACTTAATGTTGGATTATACAAACATGAAGGTAGTTCAATTTACCGAGATAAATAAGAGAAGTTAGGAGATGCGAACTTGGATAAAATGAAGTATAAGACGATGGGTGGTGACTTTGGACTTTTGAGATATATGAAGGTGGGAAGAAATATTGTAAGTAGGTCGTATGTTCGTATGAAATATGAGGAACTAATAAATGAATTAAGAAAGAACAAGTTAGGGGATGTGGACTTAGTAATGATAAGTTGTGTGAGATCTTAATGAAGGAATTTAGTGAAAAAAATGAAACAATGAGCGGTTGAGCTTGTGATCAGATGATCGAATTGTCGAAAGATTAAGACTGGCGGGGGTAAACATAAAAGATTGGTTCAATCGTTGGATTTTCCTAAGTAAGAGTGGGATTTGTACCAAGGAATTTTTGTAGGAGACTTATCGTTGATTAAAGTAAGAAAGAAAGTATTACTAAGAGTTTCGTTTACTAATGAAACGATAAAGATCTTGAAAAAGATTTGGGAAAATAGACTTATAGGTTGGCATTGTAAACTAAATTGGAGTGTATTGAAGAAGTATGTTCGTGATTCATCGGTAAAGTTGAACGATGATTCAACCTATGAAGAAAGGACAATAAAGATCTTGAAATCAAGGCCACTGAGAAACAAGGAAGAGAGTTATTGGTTAAAGCGTTGTGATTGAATCGTCAAACTAAAGAAGCCACTTAAAGTCAAATTTATTATTCCTTATCGATCATAAATTTGAGATTTACATCTCACCATTAATCTTATATCTTATCTTATAATAATAACATCTATGGTTTATATTAATTCACAGTTATGACATGGGGACTAATTATGGTGTGGTAAAAAAAGTCAAGAACCTTTTTGTAATTCTTAAAAGAATTTAAAATTTCGTTAAAAATCTTTCCCCGCTTCACTTCGCATTCCGCATCGACGCCCAAGAACATAGTTCACCGAATTAAGAAATCAATCTCAGCCGTTGGATGAGACACAAGGGTTTTTACTCGCTGCCCCTGCTATAGCGTGTACCCCTCTGCTCCTCACGCCTCCCCCATTTTATAGTCTTCTCTGCTCTTCCTCATTTCTCCCTCTTTTCCTTTTGGTCTTTCACCCCGCTTCAAATCTCCGCAGGGAAAACCGCTTTTAGCTCTAAAGCGGTTTTCCGAAGCTCCGGTTAGATCCGAGCCGCCGGGTTCCTCCTTACCTGGTTCCTGTTTTCTTACACCTTTTTTCTTAAAAGGTCAGTTTATTTTTGAATCTATTTTATATTTAGTCTGCTTGTTGCTCTTGTTCATGCCCTTTGCTTAGCTTTTGCTCTGGGTTTGGGTAGAAAATGGGTTTAGCTCTTCAGGAAGAAGGAGATCTGGATCGTTGTTTTTGGGTTTCCAGTGTAAAGATATCTACACGTATTTCTACATGCTTTTTATGCTTCTGTTTCTGGGTAACAAGGTTCATGGATTAGGAATGCATACTTTAGTGATTTTTACTGAAATATTTTGCGTTTTGAACTTATTCCCCAGCTTTGGGTAAATAAAGTCTTCATCTCTTTTAGCTTTGTGTGGAAAATATGTAGTTTTAAAGATGTTTGGTTATTCAGAAGCCTTAAAAGAATTATTTGAGTGTTTTAATGAGGTTTGATTATTGTTGTCCAACATGAGTGGTGGAATTGTTTTTACCATGTTTGATTTGCAGCTGAGAAAGATTCACCATATACAAATATTGCAATGTTTTCTAATGGAAAACCCCATGTTTTTCTGCTGGTTGCATTACGTCACTGTGGTGCTGTGAAGCACTATTTGATTCTGGCTTATTGTAACCAGAGAAAAAAAGCTGCTTTTTGTTAGCATAATGGTATTTCCAGTTTGAAAAATATGCCCAATTCATCTTGTGATTTTTGTTGTATGATAGTGGAAGTATCTTCCTATTTTTGGTTATTTTTTATTCATTATGATATGTTTGCAACTCATGATAGACTGTTTAAACTTTTTTTTTTTTATCTTTCTTTCACTGGGTCCTAATTCAGGCTGAACATTGGGTTGCGAAGGTCGATCATGGCTGGAGAGAAGATAGTGGAGAAATGTATCCTTCTGATATGTTCTTTGAGATTGTTTGGTTTGAAGTGTATAATCTTCAGCTGTGCAGAAAAATGTTATGTTCTTGTGATCTGCTCGTCTAAGCATTTCTTCTTTTGAAGAGAGATTGGAATGCTATTAATCTCAACCCCATTCATGCTGAGCTTGCTATAATTTGTTTTGTCTGTTAAATATGTGCTGTAAACTTCATCTGTCCTTCGAAAATGACACCTTAATGATTTTGTTGAGTAGTTGGTGGTGTTTGATATTTCTATGTACTTGAGATTAATTGATTAATTGCACGATTTCAATTAATAAGTTCCATCACTGTTCCAAAATCCCTTAGTAGTGAGTAGTGACTTCTTTTTTTGGTTGTTTGAGATACGATAACACTGTGTTATGGTGATACTACTTAACTATTTTTAAAGCCGAAGCTGTCACTGCTGGATTGAAGTCTGACTCATCCACAAAATTGATCAACAAAGATATGGTATACTTCGTACTTATTCTTTATATATATACTTTGATATGCTAAATTAATGCTTTCTTCTACCCCTATGAGATTTTGTGTTTTTCTTTTTTATTGGGATTTTCATCTCCTTTTTTGGTAGTTTTAATGTGCTTCGATGGGTTTTAATCCATGTTTTAGGGCACGGTTAAAAGTGGAAAGGCGTTGGATTCAATATCTCCGGTTCCTCCAATGGTTAGTACTGAGACTGGTGTCAACGGTGGTGTTGATCAAGGAGCAGTTCCTGAACAAGGTTCATACTATTCGCTGGCTAGCTGTTGTGATTATTACTACCCAGGTAAGATCGTTTATTGGTTTTGGTTATTCCTTTGCACCTTCAGGTTTAAAAAGGCACATATTTTGGAAGAACATTATGGCCCTGTTTGGTAAAATGGCTATTAGCTGATAGCTGTTAGTTGTTAGTTGATTGTGTTAATTAGAGGGTATAAATAGTTGATAACATTAGCTGATTGTAGAAAAGTGTTTGGTAAATTAGTTGTTACCTGATAGCTGTTTGGTATAATTTATTTTCTCAAAAAGCTAATTGGAAAAGTTGCTTGGGATAGCTTTTTGAATTTTATCCTTTTGGAGTTGCAAAAAGCTAATTAACCAAACATTTATATTGATATTTTAACTAAATTAAACAATTAATAGTGGTCAAATAAGCCAAAATTGGCCTATAGGCCAATTTTTTACCAAACCAGGCCTATATGTGTTGGTTTAGTTTATACAGGTAATGAGTTAAATAACTAATCCCGGTTTGGCTTGCTGTTTTCACAGGTTATAATGGGAATTATAACAATGGTCAGAGCATGGCATCGGATAATGGATTTTACCTCTACTATTTGCCTGGCTATACTCCGTATACTACTGGATATATTGGTTCTGACGGGAAGCAACAGCCCTACACAACGTCGGGATACCTTCAGCAGCCTGTATCGTATGGTTCTGATGGCATGCCTTGTTATTCATGGTGTTTTACAAATGGCGATCTAACATATGGCACGGATTCTAAATCTCGGAATTTTAAATCCATGGCTGGCTCGAATGGCTCGGTGAAGTCCAATGGTTTCAACTCTTCAAAGACAAACAACGCTCTATCAAACAGAAATTCATCTTTGCCATTGAATCACAAGGCTCAGCAGTTTGCATCATCAAACTTTTCGAAGTCCTCCCCACAAACTCAGCCGCTCAAACAATCAAATAGGGTAATGTCATTTCTCAATTATACATAATTAGATTATGCTATTTCATTCCCCATTCCAATAAAATTGATGTTCTTTTGTTTTTGCAGTTTGACTCGGGCTTTCAGCCCGGATGCCTTTTGAAGTTTCCGTCATATACCAATCAAAACCAAGGATTTTATAATCACTATGGTTCAGTTAACTATCAAACAAATGGTAGAGGCTGGAATGGAAATTACAAATTCAAACCGAGAGAAAATTTCAACAGAAATGGAGCAGTTGAAGCCTCGACTGAGCTAACTTGTGGCCCAAGGGCGAGTGGTAAATGCAGCTCCTCCTCAAAACCGTCAAGTGAAGATGATCAACTTAGAATGTCCACCCTAAGGAATAAGTATAACAAGGAAGATTTTAGTACTGAGTATGATTCTGCAAAATTCTATGTTATCAAGTCATACAGCGAAGATGACATTCACAAGTCTGTCAAATATGATGTTTGGTCAAGCACTCCAAACGGCAACAAAAAATTGGAGAATGCTTTTGGTGATGCTGAAGGAAAAGCAAGCGAGACAGGCACAGAATGCCCAGTATTCCTCTTCTTTTCTGTAAGTTGGTTTTCCTCTTCTTACCAAGAAGGTGCAATTCACCCCACCCCACCCCCGAAAATTGCTCTTTTTCACTTCAATGTTGGTTTAGAACTCATCATTGTATCCTCAATGTATCTATTTGTGTTATGAATTTCAGGTAAACGGGAGTGGACAATTTTTGGGTGTAGCAGAGATGACAGGGCAGGTGGATTTTAACCAGAAAAAGGACTTTTGGCAACTCGATAAGTGGAGTGGGTTCTTCCCAGTGAAGTGGCACATAGTTAAAGATGTCCCGAACACACAGTTGAGGCACATTATCCTTGAAAACAATGACAACAAGCCTGTAACTTACAGCCGAGACACTCAAGAGGTAGTGCATTTTTTAATTGTTGTATTGCCATTCTCCTCTCAAATTATACGCAGTAATTTGATCTGGTTGGCCCGATTCAATTTTCAGGTTGGATTGAAGGAAGGCTTGGAAATGCTTAACATCTTCAAGTCTTACTCCGAGAAGTCCTCACTGTTGGATGACTTTGACTTCTATGAGGATAGAGAAAATTTGATTAAGGCCAGCAGGAGTTTTAAGACAGGATCTGAAGCAGGTGCATTCCAGAATCGGGACCCTCATGTAAGCAAAGAGTATTTATACGTAATCATCTTCAAACATTAAACAAAAAAAAAAAAATGATGCACATTTACATAGAAAAAGGCATTTCTTGAATGTTTTGTATTTTACTATGTCACTAAGGTGAGTATGTTTCCCCAAGATCAACTCACATTTAACTGGCTGACAGCCAAAAAGAAATTAGTTTAATAACCTTTTGGCAGTTCAGCTGCATAAGAAAGGGGTATGTTTCACCATATAATGTTATTTTTTGTCTGGTGCAGAAGCAATTCAATGAAGGGGAAAAGGAAAACGAGGAAAAATCGTTGGAAACTGGTATTACTGATTCTGCTTCCTCTCTCATTGGTCTCACCGAAAACCTTTCTGTAAACGCCTAATGAATCAACCGGAGAATGTGGTGGCTTGAAGGGGGACTCAAGTTGGGGTGAACTGCACCATTTCTTGTGTTGTTGTTCAGTTTTATGAATTACCATGTTTCTGTTTGTTGTTATTTTATCAGTTTAGCCATGTTTCTGGGTTGGTGTTCCTTTCCAACCCTTTAAGAAGAAAGAAATGCAATTTAGTTAATGTTGTTGTTGTCTGGTTTGCTATCAAGTTTTTTATCTTCTTCATTTTGTTCATTTGATAGCCATGTTTATTGTTTTCTCCATTTGTGTCTGCAAATCCACAATGAAGGCCAAGACATGCCTTTTCTATTTTGGGTGTACCCAGAGTTTTTACTGTCGGATACTGTCTAATTCCTTCACTGAATTGTAGTTACCTTTTCGAGTGGAACAGTTGGCCGGGAGATTTAAGATTGTTCTATATTCAAAGTCAAAGATCGAATCTTCAACCTTTAGTTAAGCATGAATGAGTCTCTTTAATGCTATTCTTGTTTCTCTTATATAACTGTTAAACCTACCACCCATAGCTCACATAATTAAGAAATGTTTTTGAATAGTTAAATTAGTCAATCAATTTAAAATAAGTTAATAAAATTTGTTTTTTTAGTAATAACAATGTGAATGGGATATTATTATATAAATATTTGGTGGTCTATATATATTGTGATTACTTTTTTTCTAGTCTTTATGATTTGCGGTGAAATGTTAAATTTTAAATTTATAATAAGAATGACTTAAATGAGGAACTTGAAATCATAAAAAAAAATGGTCTTTGTAGAATAACCACCATCAACTAATGCTGTTTAGTATGAATCAAATGTTGCAATGTTAGTTACAAGGGTATGGCCTTTTTTTTTTTTTTTTTTTTTTCCTGGAAAACTAGAAAAAACAGGAACAAATTCTCATTAAAAAAAAAAAAAGAATTGGAGAATTACTTTTAACATGTTTTCAATTTGGAGAAATGAAATGGATGATAACTTATTATTATCAAGTGAAATTATATACATTTGGAGTATTTAGTGATTTAATTTCACTTTTTTTTTTTTTTTTGTTATTTAGCCAATTTGAACTTTATTCCTATCAAATTGAGCAAATACTAATTTTGGTCCCACGAGTATTAGCAAAATGACAGTTTTAGTCCACATGTTTAATTCCTACCAATTTTCATCCACGACTATTACTTTAGTACCAATTTTCATCCACGACTATTGTTTTAGTGCCAAAATTCATCACGCCAATCACACATTTGTTTAAAACATGTCGAAATATGAAATTATTAAGGGTATTTTCGTTTTTTTAAAATTAAGATCCCAATTTGAGCATGAATAAAAAGATTTAAGCCCTAAGATCTATCGTGATTCGCAGTTTTTCTTCTCAAATTAAAGTAGAATGAGGAGGAGAACTGCCAATTGGGATTGATCTTAGGGCTTACATCCCTTTATTCATGCTCAAATTAGAGCCTTAAGTTGAAAAGGACGAAAATGCCCTTAAAATTTTTAGATTTCGACATGTCTTGGATGGAGGGGTGACCGGCGTGATGAATTTTGGTACTAAAATAATAGTCGTTGATGAAAATTGGTACTAAAACAATAGTCGTGGGATGAAAATTGGTAGAAATTAAACATGTGGACCAAAACCGTCATTTTGCTAATACTCGTGGGACCAAAATTGGTATTTGCTCTATCAAATTTGAACAAATCTTAAACCCTACAAAGTACAAAGCACCGGGAAACACTTGAAACCAGCGGGAGTGGCAGAAATTGCCGGCGGCGCCAATGACGGGCGAAACATCGGAGACTTCGAAACACTCGCTTGATCAACCAACTGAATCTCCACAACGGCCTTCGAAAATCGTCAAACTCAACGACGACATTGCCGGCAGCGGCGTCGAAGAGGAAGAGCAGTGTGCCTCGAATCTCAGTGAGAAGCAGATGAATTCGAACCCTAGACTTCAAAGGTACTTGGTAGCAGTCGAGTACATCGGAACTCGCTTCGCCGGAGCTCAGCAACAATCCAATTGCAGAACCGTCGTCGGTGTTCTGGAGGTAATTTTATCATTTCTCAGAGTTTGAGCTTTTTTTTTTTTTTTTTTTTTTTTTTTTTTTCCTCACAGTTTATGTAAACATCAGGAAAAGATAAAATAATGAATTAAAAACATATATACTGTATTGTACAATGACTATATCTTAGCAAAAGGATATTGAGCCTGTGGTGGTTCTGAGTGCATTTCATGTTTGATGCAGGAAGCTTTTAAAAAATTTATTGGACAGCCTGTATCAATATTTTGCTCAAGCAGAACTGTAAGTTTTTATTTTTTTATTTTTTTATTTTTTTATTTTCTGCTAGAAGGAAACATAGCCATGCGAAATGGTATCAAGTTATGTGTTATCAAATTTCATGGTACTGCAAAATGTGATCTTTAACTAACGTTCTTTCTATAATTGGTTGTAGGATGCAGGAGTACATGCATTGTCAAATGTTTGCCATGTAGATGTAGAAAGGATAAGCAAACGAAAACCTGGTGAAGTGGTATGCTATTTTGATTCGATTTCAATGACTTGGCTCTTTCTGTCTTCTTTTCATTCATTTTCAAGGTCTCTGTGCTTTTAAATAGTATTGCAAGGTATTCTTGATTTTATTTTGATTAATATCATAAAATTTTCCCTGTCTTGAGATTGTATCTTGCTTAGTTGCTTGACCCACTATGTGTTCACATATAACTCATGTTTAGCAATGGAATAATAGCCTTTTAGCTCTTGATTCTGGACTTCATTTACTTACTGCAACACATATAGAGTTAGTAGTTATAGATGTGTGGTTAATGTGTGCAGGTTTTCTTAATGTGCACAATCTTATTTGCATGCAGTTACCACCCCATGAACCTGAAGTGGTTAAAAGAGCTGTGAACCATTTTTTGCAGGTACATCTTGTTTATCTGAGAACTCTTTTTATAGTATGACTAGCTGCTTCCTACTTTTCAGTTTTCATTGATTGAGATCTGAATCCTGTTGCAGAAAAATGAGGGTGATGTAATGGTCATTGATGTTCGCCGTGTTGCAGCTGATTTTCATTCTAGATATAAAGCTCAAGAACGGACGTATGTATCAATAAACTTTAACTTGTTGATATCATCATGCTTAGTGCCTGCCTGCATTTTATGTCTGAAACTTCTGTTATACGTACTGCAGCTCCTACATATTAGTCAATCCCTGTATATTTTCTCATGTATTGGTTAATGTCATTCAAAGGTTACAGATGGTGTGTTGTCTTGTTTTGGCTTCAGATTGTCTGATTAGTTTCCAAAGAATTGCTGCTGAAATGCTGTATTTTTAGCCTGAACAATGTTTTTTCTTAGGCATTACTCTTCATTATCAGTTTTCCACTTTTCTTTTGATTTTCCAGTGATAATTGACTTTTGGGTTGTCTTTTATCAGACTTATGGTGCATGTTCATTACTATAAAAATTTTGGTGAATTATTGAGAATGTTCTTTTAGGTACTTCTATCGCATAGTATCTGGACCAGAGCCTTTGTCAACCTTTGATAAAGACCGGGCTTGGCATGTGCCTGAGGAACTAGATCTTCTCTCTATGCAGGTTGATTAAAAGGTTTAAAAATGATATTTTGATATTGTGTAGGCTCTCTCATTGTTTTGATGCTATTTTCTTGTCTGATTTTGTCTAGCAAGCATGCAGGATTCTTGTTGGACATCATGATTTCAGTTCTTTTAGAGCTGCTGCATGTCAGGTTAATATTATTATAAAATATTATTTCTGATTTTATTTTGATTCTATAATTTTCAAATGTTCAGATAATTTATTGCATTATCCATTGGTTTGTACTTAATTCTATATAACCTCTCTGATTTCATTTTTATATTTTTTGGATAATCTGGTGCGCCGAGGATTATATCTTATTCATTTATACCGTGTCTTTCGCCATGTGTTATCTTCTTCTTCTTTTTTTTTTTTTTTTTTTTTTTTTTTTTTTTTTTCCTTAAGATAATTTCTTAGAATTTTAGCTACCATTTCTTCTTAATTAACAGGCAAAATCACCCATCAGAACTTTGGATGAATTAAATGTTACTGAGGTTGTATCAACTCCATATTTTCCGTCAATTTTGGAGAGGCAACCAAGTGATGCTGTGATGGAGAGCCTCTCCGAGACTGAGAATTCAAAAGCCAGTTTCCCTTGTTCTGTGATTCCCAATCAAGTGAAGCTGGGAGGTTCAGATCATGAAGCTAGGCATGAATTTGGCATTAGAAGAAGACCCCGTTGCTTAGTGGTCACTGCAAGGGCGCGCTCTTTTCTTTACCATCAGGTTGGTCTTATGTTTTAATACTATAAATCTATAATGATCAAATTCGTTATTTAGCTTAGATACTTGATGACTTGAATGCATAACTTGAGAGATATAATCTTGCACAGGTTAGGCTGCTCGTTGGAGTTCTTAAAGCAGTCGGGACTGGTGATCTTACTGTTCCTGATGGTGAGCATAAAACTTTTGAGCCTTTATGTTAGCTGATGTAATTTATATTTTACATTGATTGTATTTGATGCATCATTTCAGTTAAGCGCATCCTCGATGCAAAGACTATAACTGCTGCAAGCCCAATGGCCCCCTCCTGTGGCCTGTACCTCGGACATGTGAAATATGATCTGCCTCCAGAAACTGGATTAGAAGAAAGAACATGAAACCATTACTGTTGCACCATGGTATTATTCCCTTGCTTCCATTAAACAAGAAGAAAATGATAACATATTTTACTTTTTTTAATAACTAATCTAGTTTTATTGTTATAATTCCTCCTCATTGCAAGCTCTAGCATTACAATTTCCAGCACTTTATCACCATTGCATCCACAATTACACAAATTAACAGCAAAACCTAACTGAGAAAGTAGCATATATGCCTAGTAGCCAGGTGCATTAACATAGAAACAGCAGCACAAATGGGGAGCTTATAATTTTCTTTGCTCTTATTGAAACCATGTTAAAGATGAAGTTTTTTCACATGTTTGCCAACACGGCAACGCCAGAGAAACAGAGAATCTTGAGCTGGACTTCAAAGTTTTGCCTCATACCCTTCAACTAACACCTATGTAAAGTGTTTATGGTCAAATTAATATTTCATTATTCCCTTGTGCATAATTTGATTAATTTATAAGCAGCTTCATTGTTTTGTAAGCCACTCAGCCTAGCTACCTTAAACTACTAAACAACCTATCCGATATATATACACACAGACGCATGGTTGAAAAAGTATAACTGATATTATTATTATTAATTAATTAATTTTTGTTTATTAACTACTCTGAAGGAAAACAAAGCTCCTTTATTATCAATTGTTCCAAGTTGATGGGTTATTTAAAAATATTTAGAGAAATCTAATATGTAATTATTAATCAACTTTAATAATTAAATATTTAAAATACAGTTTTAATATTGGGAGGCAGAGAAGATGATGGATCTTGACATGGCCGCACAAGAAAGTATTTCATTATTTCCTATTCTTCTACGTCAAATGCCCCTATGATTAGGTGTAAACAAATCAAATAAAAAAAAAATCGATTTGTGATTCGAATTCGAATATTTTTAATACGAATTTGAATTCGATTACTTTTTTCTATTCGAATATTTCTCGAATATGAATACGAATTAGAGTGTATTCGATTCGAATATATTCGAATATTTTATGCTATTTAAATATAAATTTTTATTACATTTTATCTTAATTTATTAGAGAATTTTGTAAGATATTAAGTTAGGTATTTTGAATTCGAATATTTGAGTCAAATATATTCGAATAAACTGGTCGAATTGAATACGAATAAAAAATTTGATATTCGAATATTGAACGAATAGGAATACTCGAATATATAGTCAAATTCAAATTGAATAGTGAGATATTTGACTCTATTCAATTCGTTTACACTCCTACCTATGACCTAACACCTCTTCGCTGGTTCGATTGCTTTAACGCAAGTTCGTAACTATATCCTCCCAAGTCCCAGAGTCTTCTTCTTCCCCCCACCATTATAATAACAACCCATCTTCAATTCCATCCTTCATATTCATCTTATACAAAGTTACAAAATCGCCATAATCGTGACTTGAACCGCTTCAAAGTTGCAAAGAGTTCAACAAGAATGTCGTCTCAGAATCTTAGATCAAGAACAGCCACACCCGCTGCTCCGGCGGTGGATGATCGTGAGGTTGAGACGTTGTCGGTCCCGGAGCCCCTTCTACCGGCGGCGAAGTCGCCGTCGTTCTCGCAGCGTGCCTTGGAGAGCACGGCACACCTAGCCAACCTCCTTCCCACGGGCACGCTCCTAGCATTCCAGCTACTCACCCCAATCTTCACCAACAACGGCGCGTGCGACGCGGCCACGCGCCCCATGACGCTCGTGCTCCTATCCATCCTCGCCGTCTCCTGCTTCCTCGCCTGCTTCACCGACAGCGTCCGGGGGCGCGACGGCCAGGTCTACTACGGCTTCGCCACGCGCGGAGGGCTGTGGCTCTTCGACTACCCGGCGGCGGCGGCCGCCGGAATCTCCGCCGCCGATCTGGGGAAGTTTAGGGCGGGATTCATCGACTACGTGCACGCAGTTCTCTCCGTGCTGGTTTTCGTGGCGATTGCCTTGAAGGACAAGAATGTGGTGAGCTGTTTGTATCCGAAGCCGAACCATGAAACGCAGGAGGTGTTGGATGTGGTTCCGATTGGGATTGGTCTGCTGTGTAGTCTCCTGTTCCTCGTCTTCCCCACACGGAGACATGGGATTGGCTTCCCTGTTACTTCTGGGAAATCAGACCTCTAATTTTAGGGTAGTTATAAACACTATAGATGATTCGTTACATTCGTTGTATCTAACTATATGTTGCTTGTATATGGCAAATAATGCTCAAATTTAGTAAGTTATTTGAGTTTGATTTCGCAAATGTTTAAATTTAACTCGGTGTTTATTGAGTCAAAATTAATTTTTGAGTAACAAAGGAACCCCATTGCCAATAACTCAATAAGCCATCTTTTTATATATTATTTTAAAATGACCAATTATATATATATATATATATAGAAATCAAGTTATAGCTCCAGAATCAAGTGTTAACTGACCTTAACATGTGAATCTGCGAATTATTGAAGGATTGCACCACACTCACATAGTCACATGTTAAGGTTGTTCACTGCACCGCACCGGATTAAGATTAAGGTTGTTTTCACCTGATTATGATTCTCAAGTTATATATATATATATATATATATATATATATATATATATATATATATATATATATATATATATATAGGTCCTTAATCCCATGAAAACGGTTTAGGTGAAAACGCTAGGTCAAATCCACACCATCAAATAAATAAGTCTCAAATCCCATGGTCCTTTTAGAGGACCACAACTGGTTAAATTTTAAAATTTGAAGGACCAGAGGTGCTAATAATTTGGAAGATCACGGATGGTAACAATTTGAAAGTCGAAGGACCACATGTGGTCAATCTAAAAATTTAGGACTAAACATGACAAAACCACTATATTCGGAGGATCCCATATAGCATTAACTCCATATGTAAATTACCTTAGTATTGTTATGATATATTGGTCAAATAGCTCAAGCGTGACTTAAACCAAACTCAGAATATTGTTGCTCTAAGTTTTAATTTTTTGAATAGTTGCGAATTTTAAACTCTGACTATTTGGATTTAGTTTAGCTCGATTGAACTTGAATTTCAATAGCTTTAACTATTCAGGTTCGGTTCAAATCAATTACACCCTAGTTTCCATACTCTAATCACACTATTCTAGCTGCTTTGAATGGAGAAAGATTGGCACATTGACACCTTACTCTTAAAATAATTGCTGTGGCAGTGATCTGTATGAAACAAGACCCAACTAGGTAATAATCTGAGGTGACTTTAACAGAATCTATTCATTTAATTGAATGGAAAAACACAGAAAGATTTTAACTTTTGGCAGCTAGCAATGGTTTTAAGCTTTCAGCTGCAGATATTTGTCCCAAACATGTGACCATACCAATGAAACTAAAATTGCTGTCCAGGATCTTGTTGTCCAGTTCCTTGCTGAGCTGGTCCGGTGTGTGGCGGTTGATGTCCTGTTGTGTTGCCACCGGGAGGCGGTGGAGGGATCATAGCCTGGTAGGGTGGTGGAGGAAACTGCTGATAAGGTGGTGAAGGGGGAGGGATGTAGCCATAGGGCGGAATGGGTGGATAATAAGGCCGGTAAAATTGACCTTGAGGTTGTTGTGGGGCGGGTGGATAACCGAAATGTTGTCCTTGTGGTTGCTGGTCAGGACCACTTCTATTTTCACCTGATCCTGAAGCTCCAGCATTTGAACTCCCATCTTGGGAAGAAACAAGGGCTCCCATCCTTTGAGGATCCATTGAAGGATAAAACGCTCTCTCGGGCTGAGGCATATGCGGAATGTTGAAGTAAGGCATGTATGGAGGTTGATCTTGGTTATCGGGCTGGTTCTGTTGCTGTGATATGACGGCCCTTGGCAGCAACCCACTATGAGCCACCGCCGCCTGCTGCCTCAACTCATCGGTCATCTCAGATTCAGGCTTTGGTGCCTGTGGTCTTCCCCACAGTAATTTCAACCGCAAGCCCTTTATTACAAGCTTGTTTGCAAGTTCCTCAGCTGCCCTCTCGGCACCTTCCCTTGTTGTATATGTTACGAAAGCACATCCACGTTGCAACACCATTTTTACGGACTCAATTTCACCATGTGCATAAAACTGATCCCTAAGGTCCTGCTCAGTGATTCTTGCATCAACTCCACCAACATAAAGGGTTTTGATGCTCTCATCGTCGGGAGGCTCCAGAGAAGGCATTTCACCTGCCTTGTTGAGTAGCTTCAAGGCCACTGGATCATTTACTCTGCAATCATTTTTTATATAAAATGTGATTCAGATTTCAAGCAGCCAACTAAGTCAATAATAGAGTACATAAATTAGAGGACGTTTGCAAGTACATAAATATTCACAGAATCAACAAGAAAAGCAAAGATGATCAACAAGCTAACTTTATAGCATCGTGACTATAGTGGAGAGGAAGAAAAGGATGAAATACTTCTGCAAATTAAAAAACATTCCACATACCCATAGTAACGATCTTTAATATTTTGTTGTGATAACTCCCCTGTTTCAGGCATTTCATGCCTATAAGGACACTCAAGGCCCCTAGTACATTGACCCCGGACATAGAAACTGCAAACATGGGCCCGATTTCTCTTGTAGTATGGAGTCGTTCTTTGAAGCTTCAAAATAGTATCATTTGGACGGACCTTTCCGTATGATGATTCATAATCTATCCCAGCTCTTGCCTGCAGAAAACAGAACTTAATTCTACAGTGTTGAGGAAAAGCCAAGCACATAAAATGTTAAGAATTTATCAGCCTTGGATTTTCAAATTTTCAAATTTCACATCCAAAGCATTAAGAAGACAAAACATATGGAGTGATTATCAAATTAGTTTCAAAGTGTTCAAAATAAGTCAACCATCTCAAACAAAAAGTTCTATCCAAATTCTATCCTTTCAAGATAAGAAAACAGTTTCAAACAAACGGCTGCTTGAAATTTTAAGATGCAAGCATAGAGTAACTTTAATCTTTAATCATACTTCATAGTTCACCAAGCAGATAGACATACCCTGCGGTCATGCTCCTCAGCAAAATATTCTCTATTCACATCACTCTTCGGAATGGCATCATTGGAATTGATACTAAGAGCGGTGTCTCGGACCTGAACAGGTAACCCATATTCAAGATCAAGAAGACAAACTTGACAAACGTTCTTCAACTTGCAGCACGTCTGACAGATCTCAGTTTTCTTGTACCTCGCATCCCGACCAGGCCTCCACCTGAAAACAGTGAAGGGTCTTGTACAAATCTTGCATTCCTTGTCATAATCAGCTTTACTCTGCACAACATCAATTCAATAAATAATAATGTCAAGTAGGTATATTTACAACACAACTGAAATTTTTATCACAGAAGCTACAAGCAATTGGAAACACGGAATACATTCAGTCTATGACAAATCTCATAAAACATATCATTAATTCATTATATGTGCAAAGGACAATGTAAGGACTAAGGAAGAAGAACTTTACACAAGAATCAGCAACTCAGTAAAGCCAAAATTCTAAACCAAAAAAAAAAAAAAAGGAAAAAAAGGTTCTCACTTGGAAAACTTACCATCCGAACGTAAGGACTGTCGCCGAGACACGACTCGCAGATGATCGGAAAGTCCGACCGTTCCCATCCATCAGCTTCGGCGTCTCTCAATAGCCTATGCGCCATTGATTAACCTAACAAAGTACAAAACGGAGATCATTTTCAGCCATTCTCTAAACACAGCAAATTCGAATTAATGCTTTCTTCGCAGCAATTATTATCCAGAGATGCTAATAAGAAGCTATTGAATTGAAAATTGAGACTACCTGGTGCTAGTTTATACAGAGAGAATATGAATTGAAGCTTGTTACAATGAGCCGATGTAGTTTAGGCGGTAGAAAGCGGCGGCGAAAGCTCGACGGGCGGCAGAGATTCCAGCGAAGAAGGATTGGGGCAAGGAGGCAGCGTGAACGATATCTTTCTTAGGGCGCGATAAGGGAGAAAATTATTTTGGGAAAATTTTCATTCTTTGCTCGATAATTTTGAACAGTTTCACTTGGACCCCAGATCTATGAGATTTTTAACTAGGCCCAATATTTTACTGATGTTTCTCGGTTTAAGGTTTGACCCCTAAATTTCAAATATTACACCATGCTATCCTATATACCACCAAAATAAGGTAAAATATTAAATTGACCCCAAAGTCAATCGGATAATGCAATCAGATCCCTTAAGTATAAAAAACGTTTCATTCAAATTTTCAAAACCTGTAAAATTGTCAATTAAATCCAAATCGACATATTTAGCACGTTAATTATTTCGAGCTCGACATGTGCCATTTTTAAATATTTTTTATTTTTGTTTTTAATTTATTAATTTTTTTTTTAAGTATAGCCATTGGTTGTCCGTGCGAGCCATAACCACCTCCCTCATTCAAGATATCTGAAAGACGACCATGGCCGTCAATCTTTGAAAATCGTGATTGTTGCGAGGATAGCCACGACTATCCATGAAGGAGGCAGCCACCAGCTATCCTTACCAGACAGTGTATTTTTTTTATTTAAATTTAAATTTATTAAATAAATAAAAAGTTTTTTTAAAAACACATAAAAAATTAAAAAATACATGTGCCATGCCTGGAAGAATTAACCAGCTAAACATGTTGATTTAGACTCAATTGAACGATTTTACAAGTTTGAGGATATGAATGAGACTTAAAAAAAAATTATAAAAAAAAAAAAAAAAAAAACTTAGGATACCTAATTGCACTATCCGGTTGACTTAGAAGGTTAATTTGACCAATTTTTCTCAAAATAATTTTTTTTTTGAATAAGGTTCAAATTAGCCACTGAACGTAACCTAAAAATGCAATTAGGCCACTGTACGAAAAAAAAAAGTGCAATTAGGTCACTGAACACTCCAAATGTATGCAATTTCACCTAATAGCAGGTTACCATCAATTTTAGCAGGTTACTTGCTTACGTGACAGATGAGTTGACATTTTTAATAATTTTAAATACTTTTTAAATACTTTTTAATAAATTTTAGTAATAAATTTTTAAAAAATGTAATTTTTTTAAAAAATGTAATTTTCTTTTAAATGACGGGTTTTTTTTTTTTTTTGTATTATTTTTTATTAATTATTTAAAATCTATTATTAAAATTTATCAAAAATGCCACCTCAGCTGCTACGTATGCAGGTAACCTGCTAAAATTGATGGTAACATGCTATCCGGTGAAATTGCATACATTTGGAGTGTTCAGTGGCCTAATTATACGTTTTTTGAGTGTTCAGTGGTCTAATTGCACTTTTTTTTTTTCGTTCAGTGACCTAAATGCATTTTTAGGTTACGTTAAGTGGCCAATTTGAACCTTATTTATTTTTTATTTATTTTTTATTTTTTATTTTTTTTTATTTTTTATGGGTCATGAGTTATGTTATTACAAACCCCTCTTGATTGAATCTGTCGTACATGAACTTTTTAGTGTGTTGTATATCTCTTATGTGATTTACAAATTATTATATATATAGTGGAGTTTATTCGATGTACATCATCCATAAGTGGATGGGGTTTCACATTGTAATGTCTTGGCGGGTAACTTAAGCCTAATGAAGCCATTTTTGGTGACTTGGGTAAAATAATCTCAACCTAATAAAGTGTGTCGAATAATCCCAATCCAGCTAGATTATCCAAGTGTCTATACTTAAGAAGGGTATAATTCGGTTGACTATTGCCTAATTAGACCTTTGTATATGTACATTGTATTCATCGTTTCAAAAACAACATTTCTTTTTTTTTTTTTTTTTTGGGTCACTAAAGAAATTGGTAACCACTAGGTGAGAATGTGCACTAAATAAACTCATATTCTTATAATTTTATGTAATAGGCTACGAACCACACATGGCATGAGAGGTAAACACCACTAAGGATCCGAGATTCCGTGCGACAACTCAACCAAAAATATGTTGACAAGAATCGAGTTCATAATCTGTAGGTACGAGAATCATATTCCATCTATTTTTTTTTTTTTGTTAGTACTATTCACTCTGTTACAATGCAGCATATGTTCACTCAATCTACTGAAGCACAAAGAGTCAATACCACTTTCGCTGAGACTCATCAAACCACAATCTCCTATATTGAAAAGCATCTTGGTGCCAATAGACTACAAGGTCATTGGCCATACTTTACCTACTTAACAACCCATTTGGGACAATAACAACATATATATTATCTTCATTACAATCATCAACACAATTATTCTCTTATCTCTATATTTAGTTTCTTTGAATTGATTGCTTTACTTCTATTTTAATTAATCCGATCACAAGCGAAGTACGATATTAAATTATTAAAAAATGTAACGTTAAGATACAGAAATATCGTATTTCTTATCCATATATGCCACAAGAAATCAAAACATACCATATAATAATTTATCCTATTAATTAAAAACATACTTTATATTTAGTTTTCTAAGTAGTTGGAGCTGACGAGGTAAACACGGCCCATGTAAGAACCGGCTTTCAGCTTCGAAATCATCGGAGATCGGTAGATGCCTGCCGCCGGCGTTATCTAATAACACTTCTCTCCCACTTCACAGAATCACAGCCGTTAATTACTTCCAAGCTAAACCTCTTCCCACAGGTTTTGATCGATCGGAAGTTTTCGTCGTCGGAGAAATTAAATCTGAACATGTCCCCGCCGGCCGGCAAGAAAATGACTGCAGGTTTCAGGCCGCCTTCCATGCGGGAGCGAGCAGTGAGTTCATCGCCGGAAACTGCCGCCGCCGCCGCAGCGCAGCTTACAATCTTTTATGGTGGCAGCGTACATGTTTATGATAACGTTCCTGCTGATAAGGTGAGTGTTTGGGTCAGTTATAACTTTTGGCGTAGTGATAAGCGTTGGTTAACATTATTTTTTGTCGATCTGACAGGCGCAGGCGATAATGTTGTTAGCAGGGGAGAGTTGTTTGCCAGCTGCGGCGGCTATGGCGGCGGTGGAAGTGGCAAAACATCCTCAGCTGTCTCGACCGCAGCAGTACTACGCCGGAAAATTTCCAACAGGTTGTGCTATTTCAGGTTTGATTAGATATAAGTAACAATTTTAATCCAGTTGGTTACACTCGATTGGCCTTCTTAATTTAAAATTGGGTGAATTCTTAGTTGATTTACATTCTTGTGATCTTTTGCTGTTTAGAGTTTGTTCGTTTTGATTTTCTTGATTCAACTTGTCATTTTAATGGATAAATTAATTATTTTTTGTTAATTCATGATTACGTGCAGAGTTACCAATTGTAAGACGGAACTCGTTGAGGCAATTTTTGGAGAAACGAAAGAATAGGTGAGTACATATATTATTCATCTATAATCGGTCTGGATTCATGGCTGAAAAACTTGTAATTTAATTATGATTATTTTGATCATCATAATTGATTCATACACTAAGGTTTTTGGTTAAAAATAATCTAGTTGACCACTTTACAATTTAAACAATTCTTAATTCTAACTGCCAACTAATTAATCAATAGTCACTATTTTCGACCACTAACAACCTAGCTTCATGACCGGGAAACTCACAATTTGAATTCACATCTATACTCTAGGGTTTATGGTTGAAAATGATCCTTTTAACCACTTTAATTTGTAATTATTTAACAATTCTTAACCACTATTTTTGACCACCAACTAACCAGTACAGTGGACTAACCACCAACAAAGATACGGTGGTTAGAAAACATAGTTGTTAAGCTCTTCATTGCCTCATTAATACGTTCTTTTATTTTGTAACTACGAATAATCAAAACACGGTTGAAAATTTTAAAATTTCAGTCCACTCTTTGAATGATAAAAAAAAAAAAAAGTAAATAAAATTTGATGATTTTCTAGGAGTGAAGTTGAATATTGATTTAGAATCTTTGTTCTAACAAATGTAGGATTAATCTTAAACTACTAAGTACTAAGTTATACCATTTTGTGGTTGCAGGAAGATAAACAATGGCCTTCATGCATCTTCTTCCACGGAAAGTCATTAGCAATCACGAACCAAAACTTCTCTTTCTTTTCACTTGAAGAGTTACTAAGAGCACACACCGATGCTAATATTATTTGTGAAACATAAAATTTCAAGATGAAAAAATACTCACCATGGGTTATATATATTTAAATTTAATTTTCTATGTGGGATATTCACATCTTTAAATTTAATAATAAAAAAAGGAAAAAGAAAAAGAAAAAATTCATTTAAAAAAAGATAAATGTCACATCAGCTGGGTACTGGGGAGTAACTAGAAAATTAGGCGAATTGCATTTTTTGTTTGCTCGTTTGATATTGTAATTACACACGTTTTTAGTTCAATAGCATAATTGCACAAACTTGACAAATTTATTCGGTTATTATTATTATTATTATTATTATTATTATTATTATTATTATTATTATTATTATTATTAGAGTTAATACCCAAAATCGTCCTCGACTATAGTGGTTTTTCTCAATTTCGTCCTAAACGACTTTGGTGACCTAATATCGTCCCAGACTTTTGTGTTTCGCTCAATTTAGTCCTCCATTTGTTATTCCGTCAAATTGGTGTTAAATAAAGGGACAATTCAGTAATGTCAATATTGATCTCTCTTTACTTTCAACTTGTGAAGTGCGAAATTCCTCTTTCTTGTACGAATTACACCCAGAATTACTCCCGGACCTGCAAATCAAATTTTATATTCGCAGTTTTAGGAGTAATTCTGGGAGTAAATCTTAAAAAAAAAAAGAATTTCGCAGTTCACATGTCTATGAGTAAAGAGATGCCAATATTAAAATTACTGAATTGTCTATTTATTTAACACCAAATGGACAGAATAACAAATGAATGACTAAATTGAGCAAAAACACAAAATTCTGGGACTAAATTGAGCGAAACACAAAAGTCTGGGACGATATTAGGTCACCAAAGTCGTTTAGGACGAAATTGAGAAAAACCACTATAGTCGAGGACGATTTTGGGTATTAACTCATTATTATTATTATATGGAGTATTTTCTTTCCATGGTCTCAAAGCAATCGTTATATCGTGCACCACAGCGCACAATGTATTGTGCGTCCTCCCAAACAATGTCGTTTTTTATGTTAAGATTTTATATGTATTATGTTAAGAGTTTATGTGTATTATGTATTACGTTAGATTATGTGTATTATGTTATGAGTCTATGTGTATTCTACTATACAATTCTGTACATTCGAAATTAGAATTTTTTATTTTTTTTTATTTTAGAAGTTAACGGACGAAACGGGAAACGAAATTTCTAAAAAAAATAAATACAAAACGATGTCGTTGTGGGCAGGGCGCACAATGCATTGTGAGCCATGATGCACGATATAACAATCGTTATATCCTACACCACGGCGCACATAGCAATGTGCGCCGCGCGCCTCCCAAAACGACGTCGTTTTGGAGTAGTGTTGGGAGGCGCGGTAGGAAGTTGTTGAGATTATGTGTATTTGTTCACAACGTTATGTGTATTTGTTCACAACGTTATGTATATTGGTTCATACAGTTATGTGTATTTTTTATACAATTATGTACATTCTTTTTATACAATTATGTACATCCGAATCAGAAAATTTGTGTGTATTATGTTAATAGTTGATGTGTAATTGTGTATTATGTTAAAAGTTTATGTTTATTATGTATTATGTTAGATTATGTGTATTATCTTTTAAAAAGAGTATGTATATTTTGTTATATAATTATGTACATTCATGTATAATATTATGTGTATTCTAGTATAACATTATGTACATTCTTGAACAGCGGGTTTTTTTTTTTTAAAGAAAAAACTACTGCCATTCACTGGGGCGGGAAATTTCAAAAAAAAAAAAAAAAAAATTAAAACGACGTCGTTTTGCATCTGGGCGCATAGTGCAACGCGCGCCGTGGCGTAGGATATAAATTGCCACGATATAATTTACGGTCTCCAAGTTACTGATGGAATTGGGCTACTCCAAGTTATTAAGGCCCATTCCAAACCTATAGGCAAATTTTTCCTGTGAAAGGTGGACATAGATCTAAAAATACATAATTTATATACTGCATGTTCACAATTTATATATTGAATGTTTACAATTTTTATATTCTAAATGTTCACAATTTACATACTAAATGTTTACAATTTTATATACTAAAAAATTGTGAACATTCAATATATAAACTATATATTTTGACCTGAGTCCACCTTGTAAGATGGACCCGGATCCATGGCATAACTGTTGAAACCTATAAGTTGTCTTGTTTGTTGTTGGGCCCGAAGTTTATTAATAGGTCCACTGGGCTGGTCTGATCTAACAATGGACCAGGCATTCCCATTTAGCCAAATAACAACCGGGGTACGGACATGAAGATCCGATTCAGGGGTAAAATGGCCCAAAAACACCCAACACCAATCATTACTGTGTGGACCATGGTCCAAAATCAAATAACTGTATGAATCATACTATCAAATAATGCGCATTCAGTATACAAATAATATACTTTTAGTATATTAAAAATGTACATTATATTCAGAGAAAAAACATTATTTGAGTACTTAAAGTATATTATTTTGTATAATGTACATTCAGTACACGAATAATGTACTTTAAATATATTAAAAATGTACTTTTTATTATGAATTACAGAATAATTTACCCACCAAACACAAATGTCTTTTCCAATGCTTATACCATGGACTAAGGTTCACATAGTAATGTGAATTTCTAATACATGGTTGTTTTTAGTGTATGGATGTTCATTTTTACTGTATTACATATTCATTTTGACTTGCAATATACTAAAAATGAAATTGTATCAAAATATAATGAACATACCTGAAATAAATATATTTTTTAAATACTACTGAAGCCCAATGAGTCAATATCACCTCCACTGAGGCTCAACCCCTGACCTCCTAGATAGGAGAGTCACTTAATACCGCTCGACCACAAAATCTTTGACTACTAAAAATAAATATATAGTACATTAAAAATGAACATGTACCAAAATTTACCTTGTAATGTAAACTCGGAGTGCATGATATAATTTGATGGTTATTGGTCCCACCCCTTATTGAATAACGGAATAATGGGTCAAATAGCCCATTGAACTGCACACCAAACTACAATTATGTCATCGAACTTAAAAAAGATGCAATTAGGTCCCTGAACTACACAAATTCATGCAATTAGGTCTAAAATGACTTGTTTACCTGTCATGTAGGTTGCAGATTTTAAAAATAATTTTAAACAAAAAATTAATTAAAAAAAAAAAAAACGGCCGGAGACGAAATCGTCTCTTGCCGTCCTTCGTCTCCATGGCAGGAGACGAAGGGGAAGACCTTCGTCTCCAGCTATGGAGACGATCTATTTTTTTTAAAAATTATTTTTTTGTTTAAAATTATTTTTAAAATTCATAACCTACATGACAGGTAAACAGGTCATTTTAGACCTAATTGCATGAATCTGTGTAGTTCAGGGACCCAATTGCACTATTTTTTGTTTTGTTTTGTTTTGTTTTTTTTTTGAGTTTGATTGCTTAATTGCAACTTGGTGTGCAGTTCATTGGCCTATTTGACCCTTATTCCTTGAATAACCGACATCTTCGACACTTACAAAAAAATTTACTTCCACTCTAATATTATGGAAAAATTGTTATTCCTCTCTCATAAATTTACCTCTTACAGGGCGTTTGGTTGGATGGAGGGAATTACGTGGGAAAAGAATTGTAATTCCATGGGAGATAAATTACTGGGAATAAAGTGAGAATTTAAATTCCAGTGTTTGGTTTACAAGAATATAATTACTGAAAATTTCAGTTCCAATGTTTGGTATACATGGGAATTGAAAAGGAATAAGTAGTATAAAGTCCAAAATTCTCATTGCTGTTGTGGTATTAATTTTATAGATTAAAAAAAGGATGAGTAATTTTGTCTCATCACTAGCTTTTTTTCCTCCTAAAGTCCCAGGCAATCTTTCACCTGCTAAATGAGGTGGAAAAAAAAAAGCAACTTTTCCTTTTTCTTTAATACTATTGTAGCTAGCAAGCTTGCAAATAGCATCAAAAACTGTCATGTAGTACTTTTCTAGTTTTGTTTTGTTTTGTTTTGTTTTGTTTTGTTTTGTTTTTTTTTTTGTTTCGTTTTGTTTTTGTTTTTGTTTTGTTTTTTTGTTTTTGTTTGTTTGTTTGTTTGTTTGTTTTTTTTTTTTTTTTTAAGTTTTGAGTTAATGTTTTAAAGTGATGTAATATTGGGGTCCGCTTTTAAAAGTAGATTGAATTTGTAGGAATGTAGTGTAAATAGCAAATGAATCGTATATTTAGTGATGTGGAAGTAAGACCCAATTTTAAAAAGTGAGAGAATATTGCAGAGATATAATAAATATACAAAAACTGGAAGACCATGCAATGATGAAGATGTAGTGATATTTGTAAAGTTGAGTAACATGTTTATAACTTAAATTATATGTTATTATATCATTAAAGAAATAAGTCACAAATTGATTATGCTCTCATTTGACTTCTAACATCAATGTAGGAATAACATGTGATTCATTGATAGTATATGAGATTCCTTTTGAGTACTTAAATTCCACATGCAATCAAACTACTACCAAACGATTTTGAAAAAAAAAAAAAACTCAAAATTGTCTAGAGTGATATTGCATTCCCATTATGATTTCACATTATAATATTTACATATGTAATTGATTGTTTTTGTGTTTGATTAATAATTGATTGTTTTTGTGTATGATTAGTTATATTTCGCAATGAATTTTGATTAGTATTGCTTATTGGTTTTATCATTTTTTAAAACATGATTAACGATTAATTTATAGTGACTCGGATACAATTTGTACTTCAACTACTAACGTTGTTTACAAAGAAGTACATTTTAAATAATTTGTGATTTTTAATTCCTTTTTATTGAACTCTTACAGCACATTTGGTTCACGGAATGAATTTTGAGATAATAGGAATGCTATTCCATAAGGAATGGAATATGTAAGGAATAGAATAAGAATTGTATTCT